CCCCACTTGACGTGTTTATTCACGCTGATGATGAAGACAACATTCGCTGGCTTTGTATCCTGGCCATTGATGTGAAGCTGAAGCAACACCAAGACTCTGATCTGCCGACCAGGGCTCCAGACCATTTTACGCCTGTCGCTGCGAAGCAGGGTCCCTGGCAGAAGCCCAAGGCCACTTCCAAGGATACCTTGCTGGCTTGGTTCAGAGATCGTAAGTCTTTCCTTTGCGACTTTTATAAGGCTTCTTATGGTTCTCAGGTCCTGAGAATGTCCCTTTCTACGTCAGCTCATGTATTGGCCATGATGGTGACAAGCCACGACACGTATTCATCTCGGACAAAGTCAAGGGTCCAGAGCGCCATCGGTATACAGACAACCACAAATGCAACAACTGCAAATCCAACGCTTGCAATTGGCACCAGTTTATCCGAGTGGACAACATTTTCTCGTTGCCCATGTGTTTGCTCGTCGTGCTGTTTTAGATGCTGCTGGCTATGTGGAGTGGAGTGCACGGATGAGCCATGGAAAGAAGAGCAAGCCTATGGTTAAGGAAGGAGGTATCCAAAAAAGGAAAAAGACTAAAACTTAGATTTCTCAAGAAACGGTGCTATGGACTAGATATTGTAGAACTTGTGTATTGGTATCATTGTATTGTTAATACGGTGTAGAGTTATCCTGTCTTCCAATTGCCATGTATCTGTACCAAGAATACTATTCCATTCAGCCTTCATTTGGACAAATCGGGAAATGCCGTCATTGTTGATTGGCAGGCCTCTCCTTTTTTTTAACTATCGTCACCGTCCTGCTTCAATATTTGGCCATTTGGACATTTGGATATTTGTGCACCTAGTGCAGCCAGTCTAAGAAAATATCCATTTGGCAGCCAGTTCAATTGGGCATAAAAAGGTTAATTGAGTATAAAAAGGTTTCATTTAGGAATATTCAATCTTGTCTATTTGGCTATAAAAAGATTTCATTTGGGAAGATTCAATCTTGTCCATTTGGCAGTCCAGATTCTATCAGTGTTATTCCATCAAGAAAGAAATAGTCAAGGAAACAGTTAAAAGGCTTTTCTCTTTTCCCAAGCCCTGAGAAGAAACAGAAACAGTCAAAGAAAATATTTCCTGAGAAAGCAAATGCCTGAGACCCCAAGAGACACCCCAAAATGGATGCCGAGTGATGCCGAGGCCGCCCAAACGGGCAACGTGATCGCCCCAAACGGGCATATACAGCACACGAGTGACCAGACGCCGACGATCGACACACAAAAGCAGAGAATATATTGCATGTGATTGCAGACAAGAGTTACCAACAGGTGACCTTGGTGATCACTATGCTCTCAATACATTGTTGTACAATAGATGAGGCCGTGATATATGTGCAGTGGGGTTACATAATAGAACTAGCCAGTTCTATATGTCAAGGTATATATAGTTAGAGAAGGTAATAAGCAAGGTCTGCTATAGTCTTTACTAATTCCTCTCTTTCAGCCGCGTCTTAGCTCAGCTGGGAGAGCAGCAGACTGAAGTGAACCCTCATCTGAAGGTCCCGTGTTCAAGCCACGGAGATGCCATTCTTTTTCTGCTCTCTCTCTTTGGCGCATGCCTGCCATTAATGTTGAGCTTTTATTTTTGACCATCATCAATTATGCTTCCGAATCGGGCAGTGCAAACGGGCGAAACAAAACTCTTCAATAAGATACAAATGTCATCATAGTTCATTGTACATCTAGGTTGTGCATGTAGGCTTGCCTCCAGTGTCGCAATGATCCGGGGTACCTTGACCCGCAGGACCTTGCCAGACACAACCAGGTTGAAGACAGTTAGTAGGGAAAATCTGGGACGATGCAGTGATCGTGCAACCCGAGCCACAGGTCTTGCTGGCGCTGGCGCTGGTGATCGTGGAAGAAGACCGACTTGATGATGGGGCAGATGTTATGGGATGAGAAGAACTGCTGGACGAAGGTGGCATCGAGGATGTTATTCCACCGCCACCCGGACCAGTATAAGGCGGGGCAGTAGTGGCAAGGGAGGGCTGATTTGCACATGTGTTGACATGCAGACCAAGAGTGAGAGAAATGAGGGCGTCTGGCCCTGCTGGATCAATGAAATTGGCTGGAACTAGAGAGGTTCAAAATTTGAGGGAAAACAGATGATAATAGCTTACGTGAGCCGGTATATGCGTTAAAGTTATAGATGCCGCAGATGCAGGTGTCGACAATGTTCTTCAGGCTGACTCCAGCGAGCACGTTTACACCATTTCGCGCAAGAGCAAAGCTTTGCTGACCAACGCTCATCGGGACGGTGAAGGATTGTGCACCAGCTGGAGCATTGTAAGTAAACGAGCTTGTTCCGCTGTTGACGGTCAGAGTCGCGGGTGACTTGAGCAGCGTGACGACAAAAATGGAGTCCGACATCGATTGCCAGCCATTAGGGCGACCGAGGAAGTAATTACCACTGCCGTTGTTGGCTGGAACCTAAGTTTATCATGTCAGTATTAGCCTTTTGACACAAAAGCTGAACGAGCAAACCTCGCAAGTGTCTGTAGCATCACAGTTGAGAGTGCGTAACGTAGGCCGATACCAGTATATGACTTGGTCACTAGTGATAAAGTTATCGACGGACGTTGCGCCGGCTTTCCAGGCAGCAATATAGGGCTTGGCCATATCGAGCCATGCATCTGTGACGATGTCAGCGGCTGCTTTAAGAGCTTCCCTGCATAGGACTCACTATGCGGCCTGGAGAAACAACTAAATGTCTTGAACTCCAACACAAAAAAGCCACTCACATATCGTTTACCTATCAGCAATGAGATCAAGGTTAGTTGAGTCAAGCGCCACTCACCCATTTACTTCCCCCTGTTCGCGAGTGGGTCAACTTGAAAAATGATAAATTTAAACTCCGCCGTACCATCGTCTTGGTGTTTAGAGCTGAGGGGTCCAACATAGTGAGATTCACCATAGTCGTTCCAAGTGACGATCTCAATAACTGCCCTATGGAGATTAGTATCCAAAAATAGAAAAAACGAATAGATTACGGACACTGTGCACCAAGAGTCAGAAGCTGATTCCATCGCGTATACCAAAGTAGATCCCCAGGGAACACCCAATTCTTCGAGTACGAGACTTCCGGTCCATAGTGCGTGCTTGATGGTTCGTTGATTTGAGCACTGATAATCGAGCGACTAGAGAGAGACGACAAACCTGAACCAAGGCGAAGCAGGGGCAAGATACGGCTTTCCGGCCAGCGCGGAGATATAGTTGTGGTCTCCCTGAGGGACACCTCAAAATCAGCATGCCTGGATATTGCGTGGGATCCAACCTGTAACACGGTCACATTTCCCGATGCGTCAGGAGCCTTGTTGTTTCCGTTGTTTGGCCACCCGAGCCAGTTGAGTGCACCGTCAATAGGCGATGTGGCAAGGTTTGTGTTCTCGGGGTGGAAGTTGGGCACGAAGAAGACTGGCATGCCGGCCGCGGACTTCATTGCATTCACATCGAGACCATCGCCAGCGAAAGAAGATGCGAAGACCTACAAAAGCGTGATAGGGGCGATTTTTCAACAATACTTGAACTCACGGCATTACCGATTTTGAGTTGCGCGGGCAAGTTACCGTACTGGGCAATTTTTTGCCCAACGGCAACAGCCTGATCGGTGTGGTACCAGTTGAAGTCGAATGAGATAAACACCTGCTCCGGCTCAACTCAGGAAGCGATTGGAGAGACGAACGGACCTTCATGCCGTTGTTAGCGGCACTTTGGTAAGCGTAGGACAGTTGCTGGTCGGTGTAGGGGTCAACACCAATGTCTGATCGCTGGTTGAGTAGAACGAGATGAGCCACTTGGAGACCTACTCAGCGCGAACGCATCAATGCCATATGCTTTGGCACGTTGCATATCACCGTCATAGTCAGCAGGACTATTGCGGTCGCTCTCAATGCCAATCTACCAAGGATCGAAAACTGCCTTGCACAGAGAGCACGTCCACCCACCATGAAATGGCAAAAGACTAGTTTGGGCAAGCTTGTTTGTCGTGATTCATGGTCAACGGAAGCCGACTGAGCGAAGTGTGCAGCGAAGGAGGCGACAAGCAACGACAAAAGGGAGCGCATCGGGGTGAAGGACTCGGACGGTTGTTGCAACCGAAGGTCCTCAACAACAAGGCAAGCATTTATACCGATACGGAAGACTTGATATGAGCGAATCAGAGGATGAAAATGGCCATTGGAGGTAATGAAGTAGTCGATGTGGGAAGCACGGTCGGGCACAAGACCTTCATGTGATCCAAGACGCGGTGGCCCATGACTTGAATATCATCGGAATACAACCATCCTACGCTTCGATTTCCCCGTTTCCTTTATCGTCAAGAGCTCGGGTAGATCTTCTTTGAACTAAACCGAGTCCACCGTGACCCTGCCGAATTGATCAACTTCGAGGCCGTATTTGAGAGGCGATTCTGACAAGAAGTATAGAGGTGGAATATTTTGGTCAAGCCAGCCGCAAATGCCTTGGATATGCATATTTTGAATGAGCCGCGTTAAGGCACTGGAAGAAGGAAGAAAGGAGTGCTGGAAAGTCACATCCACGTGCACGTGTACGTCACATCGACACTTGATCATGATCATGATTCATGACCTTTAAGTTGAACAATCCTTGCAATAAGTCTATGCAGATGCGCATTGAACAGAGGTCATGACACGCATCACAAGCCTCACTAGACCTCAACGTAGTGACTGATTCCTGAGAAGAGGCAGGGTCATCATACAAAGTGCACTTGTTCTCTGATTCGTGACTCAATTCGAATTCTGATATGGTATCTACCGCTTCATCCTCTTACAGTACTACTAGTATCACGGTAACCTAATTGATTCGAGTATGAATACTACGAAGCGAACAGTTGCAGACCATTCTGGGATTCAGGTTGACGTTCAAACCAACTCCCCAGACAACCAAGTCAACAATATTTCTGGATCACTCGACTACTACTCCTTAGTGCGAATACTTTATTTATTTCTGACTTGCGCTACGACCCGTACGCCGCGAGGGACGTAAGTAAGCACGTTAGTCTCTTCGTCTCGCCCTGCATCAACGTCCATCCTCTGTTGGCGATTATTTGCTGGCCCAGGGGAGCGAGTGCGTCCAAAACCACCACTCTTACCTCCGCGACCGAATCGGATGGCCGAAGGAACGAGAGACAGCGCATTTAATGAGCTTGTGAGCGAATCGATGCCAATGTCTGGCGCTGTTTCCTGGTCGTTTTCGGATTCGTCTTCTTCGATGAGCACAGATGAGGGTGTGGTAGGCGCCTCTCTGGGTTTCCATTTACCCCGGATCAAACTTGCACCTTCACCCCAACGCTTTAGCAACCCCCCAACACCCTTGTTGGTGACCGCGAAGAAATATTCTTTTGGGTATCCATGCACTTGAATCAAATGGAGACGTCGTCCTTTGGGTGTCTGAAAAAGTCGGTCACACGATACAAGATGGCAAGCAAACTGCACAAATTGAGCAGACAAAACAGGCAAGATATGAATGTCACACGATTTTCTCTCCACGTTCTCTTCGGACTGCAGCGAGAGGGTCATGACATTCCGTTTGATGCTAATTTGGGAGTTGCATTGGATGACAAGACATTATCGAGGACTGACGAGTTCCAAAATACGAGCTTCTGGAAAGACACAACTGCAGGTCTCGCACACATGGGCATGATATGTCGCATAGTGAGCCTCGAGATCCTTTGAGCTGGAGATGTGGGTATGATGTTGATGGCAGGTAGGGGGTAAAGTGCATAGCAATGGATGTTTGGAATTCTCCGTATTAGTACGCTGAGCTTTGGCGTTGGGAGAAGTCGACGCCGATGTCGAGGATTCCGACGAAGAGGTCCGATTCCGTTTCGAGGACATAGTTGAGATGCACGATCAATGTGACTTTGATGGAATCACACGCTTGACTAGCCCCGTCATGTCATCAAAACGCAAATGGGACCAAGCTGCACCAGACTCTGAAGACGGGCCAGAACCTAAAAAGCTTGAGCTCAGTGGGGAAGCTGCAGAGGCCGCAGCCAGAGCTGCTGCTATTGCCTCCAAAATCGCTGCGCAATTCAGCGAACTGGGTGCGGAGGAGGCCTTTTCACAGGACATAGACATAAACGATGTCAGGAATCGGTATATGCTCACCAAGGCTACTACCCAGCAGGAGGTAACATTCAATGCTTCCAAACTACCTTGAATTCTCAGAGTCCTCTAGATTAAAGATAAGGCTGGGGGCAACTTGTCGACTAAAGGTATCTGGTATCCCGACCGGACGAAAGCTACCGAGAGAGATCCTCCCTTGTACTTGCACGTCACCGCCAAGTCTGCCGAAATCCTCAAAAGAACTGTCGATGTTGTCCATGAGTATATAGCTATTGACATGGGCAGTCTGGTTGAAGACAAGAAGAAGGAAAAGGTGTGTCGGACGTCTCTCCCTTTCCATCTCTCTGAACTTCGCATAGCGAAAATGGCCTGAAGAAAAGCTGCCTGTTGGACTTGAAACCATCCGTAACTTTAATATCAGGGCCAAGGTCGTTGGACCTAGTGTGAGTTCCTTCAGTTTGCCTATCCGCAGTTTTATCGAATGTCTATAGGGCTCTTTCGTCAAGTACATCCAGCAAGAAACGCAAACCCGAGTCCAAATCAAAGGCATAGGGTCAGGTTTCGTTGATCAAGAAACAGGCCGAGAAAGCGACGAACCGTTGTATATTCACATAACGTGAGTTTTATTTTTTCCGGTAGTAACTGTGCTGAGTTCTGTCGCAGGGGACCGGAAGAGCAACAAGTTGCGCGAGCAAAGGTGCTGACAGAGGATTTGCTGTCAGTCGTTCGCATCGAACACGCTAAAGTTGCTGTGGCTCTTCAGCACGAGCAGATGGAGCTGCGAAATGCTCAGATGCAATACACTCATTATGGTGCATTGGCAGGGGTATGTTATAACGTCGTGGGTGACTCTCCGTTCATACTTTCCCCCCAGGGTTATGGCTCTGCGCCAGATGGGCCCGCACCAGATCAACCACCCCCTCCCAGTGGGGACCAGTTCGACCCTGTGGCCTTCAATGCCTACTGGTGAGTTGCCTACGTTATCGAAAGTTTCATTTTGCTGATACAAGACAGGGCTAACTACGGCTACGACACTAATTCACAAGAGTTCCGAGACTGGGTGACGCAAAACTATCCTGCGGCTAAAAGTTACTATGATAGTCTGGATGCCCAAGGGAGCAGCGCTCCTGTTCCCCCTTCTCAGCCAGCTCCTCCACCACCCCCTACTGATGGTCTTCCGCCTCCGCCTCCCCCAGCGTAAAATTCATTTCTTCATACGTTTGACAACCCATCCCCTTTATTATTTTTTCTGTCGTGACCAAAAAGCGCCAGCTGCTCAGGGTCATTCTTGGAGTTGACGAGCATAGCGTGTGAATAACAATATGGGGACAGTAGTTATATTGAAAGTTCGAGTTTGCGAAATTTGGCCTGCATCCAAACACGATACATTTTCACTTGTCGTTTCCTGTTAAGCAATAGGCGGCGATCGACACCCAGTTGCTCGATGGCGAAAAGCTGAAGGGGAGGGGAGTCCACGAGACTAGGATGTACTCTATTTGCTTGTGGCATGTCGTTAGGTTGGGCAAGTGAGCCAGTAAATAACAGTGACAACTCATCTAAACTCTCCATCAGTCATTGAATCTCAAGGAAGGGAAGTGATCGAACACACCGAGTTCAAAGAAATAGACGCGCGTTTTATCGCCACGAATATAGAAATTGTCGTCTAATAGCCGGCCTCCTTTGAAACGGAGCTGAGCCATGTCATAGCGACCATAATCGCGAAACAACACTAGGCCGCCAGGCTTCAATATGCGGTGGACATTCGAGACAGCTTGAAGCCATTCATTGGGAGATAGAGCACTGAATACGAAGACCATGATCACTATATCAGCGCTGGAGGGTATGATTTGTTCAGGAAGGGTATCCGAGGTAAGGTCCCAAACCGCTGCATCGATGGTGCCCATTGGCGGTGCCGAGTAGAGCGGATTTTCCTATTTATTGGATGCATAAGTTGGCGAGGGATCAAGGACAAGCTATTCCGACCTGTAAGATTTTGACGGCTTGTTGGGAATAATCGAAGGCATGGAGAGCTAGTTGCGGGTTGCTGTTCTCGGAGAGCAGAGGGAAAACACTGTTCCCCACCCCTGCAAGCGAGATTAGATCGGACAAGGTTGATTAGCAAAAGACACGCACCACAGCCAACTTCGACGATGCTGACCGGTCCTGCATTAGACTCCGTAGCGCTTACAAGTTCACTGAACTCATTGTGTAGCCTAAGAAATTGAGTCGGGGAGAGGAGCTGTTTACCGCTTACCATTTGCGATCCTTGAAGAAATTGTTCGAATTGTTGCGATAGAAATTGTCCCAGTGGCGAGCAGGGCGGTCGCCGAGTTTCTTCGTTTCGCTCTCAGAAACTGGATTGGCTCTTTGTCTTGCGAGTGAAGCGGCGATTATCTCATCCTGGTCGAGCGGCGGTGGCACATGATCCCAAGCATTCTGCGACCAGACTTGTGTTTCGTCTGTGAGGAAACGAGAGCCAAAGGGTGGCTTGTCCCCTTGCACAACATCATGGACTGAAGAGGTCTGCTTTAGAACCATATGAAGTGATGGACTTGTCACAACCACATAAGCATGAACGCCGATGTAGAGGGCGAATTCGATGACCTCTACCAAGAATTATGGGCTGGCTTTGCTCCTGGCGGTAGCAATTTCCCTGTCACAGCAGGTTTAGAACCAGCACTCGACTCTCCGATGTTGCCAGACGGCGAAAGAGCAATATGTAAGAGACGTTCACCAAATGACAACTGGAAAGCGCTCACTCAGTTCCATAGATTCACATCCTATCCTCCCTCCTTCAAGGACGCTGTCTACCTTATCAAACAGCACAACAACTACCATATCCCAGCAATCAATTGCTGGCCCACGCCCTTTACCGAGACCATTACCGAGACCGCCCAGTGCAACAATCACTCCACTCATCCCGCCGCCCCCGCCCCCTCTCAAAGCTCCAGGTTATTATGCCCCGGCGCAGCTCACGTCAATCGGTAGTCTCTTAACCGCACAACCTTCCACTCAACCCAATGCAACTCTCAGTCCTAATGGAATACTCAGTCCAGTCTCTGCACTCGAGTATTGGGATTCGCCAATCGACACAGATAGCTTTCCTCAACGCCCGATATCAAAGCCACCGACGCCGCCGCCACCACCACCACCACTACCAGAACCTACCTGGCAACGAACAGCTTATTCCGCAAATTCCTGTGCGCGGTCTCCTCATAACTCCTCTCAATTCTCTAATCTCTTGATCAGACAACGCAGAAGCGGGACCCTCGTGTGAGTATTTGTTTCGTCTAAAGCGTGTGTTTAGATTCATACATAGACTCCAATGGACGATCGTACGAGTCGTATCTGGCTGAGGACCACCAGTCTGATCCTTTCTACTCTTTCGGTGAATTGGCAGAGAACTTTGCTGGACCAAGCAACATTCCTCCCAGTCCGACTGGCCTCCTTCAGGTCATTTCTCGTTATAATGAACGCGATCCCCGGCCTTTAGAGCTTCACGAGGAAGAGGATGAAGGTTACTGGGATGAAGAAGAAGATGATGATGAAATGCGCTATATCAATTTTGCATTACTCTCACATGTCGCCGTGCAGTTCCGCGACAAAGTCCTTCGAGGGACTCATGTCAAAGGCAGCATACCGTACCCCCGAGCATTCACCGGAAAAGATGTCGTCGTATGTAATCAATGTCTACCAAAACGCTATTAGCTGACGCCTTTGTTTCCAGTCGACGATCCAGTCGCTTATTCAACGAGATCTAGCCATTGATCACGGAATATCGACCAACGACCGCCGCGCTTCCTTACAAGTGGCTCGCAGCTTACAAAGCCAGCTTTTCTTTTACGAAGTAGAATGGGGCGGTCGTATCCTTCAGGATGGCGTGGAGGATGTTTATATGTTTCTGGACGATCTCGATGGACCATCGGATTCGGCGCCAGATCGCGAAGAACTCCCTACGGCTGTCGTGACAATGCTTACCAAGTGTTACTCACCGAGTTGTGGTGAGGGTCTCCCATGTTACTCTTTTTCGTGCCCCACCAGGGTGAAATTTCCTTTGTGAGCCAATATTCTCCTCGCTGATGTCCCTAAAGGGTAACTCCATCATCCTGCAAATTCCCACCGTAGAATCATCAACAGGCCCCCAGCGAGAGGCGTGGATCAAGAGCGTGCCTCAGGAAGTTTTGATCTCACTTCCTGAGAGTGAAATCAACCGCCAAACGTTGGTTTAGTCTTTTTGCCTCCTCATCTCGTGTTTTTGATCATTTTTTTGCGTCTCAGCATCATCCACAAGCTCATCAGTAAAGAAGAGCAGTATTTGCAGGACCTTGATATGGTTGAATCCCTCTTCATTCGACCGCTCCGTGTTGCGAATCCCCCCATCATTCAGACCAAAGTCGACGACTTCATTGATGAGGTTTTCGGCAACATGTTAGACCTACGAGAATGCAACCGACGCCTCCTTGAAGTCATATATGTTCGTCAACGCGAGCAAGCTCCGGTGATCCAACGTATCGGCGACATCTTCCTGGACGGTGCGACCGAGTTCCGTCTCGCCTATCCAATATATGTTGGGCATCACCCACTGGCCGAAAAGCGCATGAAGGAAGAGCTCGATACCAACCCAGCCTTTCGATTATTTGTTGAGGTGTGTTGCATAACCAGCAACTGTTCTTGAAATACCAAAATATACTTCAGCGATGCTCTAGGCAATCAGGCCGGACTGGCGCTCGCATGGACCTGAAACATTTTCTCAACAGGCCGTCTGAACATCTTCAAAAGTATCCTGTGCTCTTAGAGGCCATTTATCACGAGACGGCCGTTGGGAACCCCGACGCAGACTATCTCCTTGAAGCCATTGGAGCCATCAAAAATCTCCAGAGCGTTGCGCAACTAAGAACCTTTCAAACAGCCATGGGAAAGGGAATACCAGGGAAGTGGGAGTGGCATGACCTTGTCTCTGTGGACGTGAGGCAAGAGATGCGTAAAGAAGAAGCAAAACGCCAAGCGTAAGTGCACACTCAGTTTTCACAAGAAAAAATTGCAACAATTAGCCAGGGTAATATTCGAATTGATCAAAGGCGAAATGTCGTATGTCAAGGACCTCGAAAACATTGAGAACGTACGTCTTCTGGGCCTCCATGTCAGCCCACTCACTCGAACCCATCTGATTAGATGTATATCCGACCTTTGCGTAATGCCGATCCTCCCATCATACCATCGGATCGGATCGATCAATTTATCAAAGACGTCTTTCACAATTGTGCCCACCTTCATGCCCACCACCGTTCGCTCATAAACAAGCTGCATGAATTACAGAGAGAACAGCATCCCAGAATACGAAGCATCACAGAACCAGTTCTCGATGCTGCCCTCAATTTCCGCGAGGCTTATTTGGAGTATATTCCCAACTATCCCATTGCAACATACCGAATTGATGACGAGGCGGCGAATAACCCTCTTTTCAAAGCTTTCGTTGAAGTAAGCGCTCTCCTTTCTACCGTGGCTGTGACTCATTACAGTTGATAGCATGCTATCCGACATCCCGACGCACATAGACTAGACATGAAAAACTTCATTAACCGACCCATTCCGCGATTGCTGCGGTATGAGTTACTATTGAAGGGAATCTTGGAGGAGACGCCTCCGGATCACAGCGACCGTCAAACCATTCCTCAACTTCTTGACATCATCAAGTCTCTGGGGAGAGAGAGCGAGCCTGGTGTTACTTCAGCGAAGCAGAAAGTCGAGCTATGGCGTTACAACTCCCATATTGTCTTCAAGCCGGGCGAGTGGATTGTGCGTGCTACCAACAATTTACGGGCTTGTTGTGCTGATATAAGTATTTGGATAGGACATGGACCTTCTGGATGAAAATCGATCTTTAATCTATGCAGGGCGTCTGTTACGCCAACCCGAGAATGGCCGGACCTGGAATGAGCTCTACGTATTGCTGTTCGACAACTATCGTCAGTTCTCGGCAGCTCGTTCATCCGGCCCTTGCTAACTCTTCGAAACAGTCGTGATGACCAAGCCAAAGGAGAAAGACGGACTAACCAAATATCATGTTGTGCGACGAGTAAGTGTTTGTCTCCTGTTTATTCTCAACTTGACCAAAACTTAGCCAATACCCCTCGATCTTCTAACACTCGTCAATTTTACTGACCCACCCACTCAACGAGGAACTGGGCTGCTTCGCAACTTACGGGGTGATCGATACACAACTGGAGGTGATGGCATCATTTCCGAGTCATCTGCCGACGCTCGGTCTGTGTATCCATGCACAATTCATCATAACGCTCGAGTTGGCGGATCACATATTCTCTATGCAGAGTCAGCACAAGCAAGAACAGAATGGAAAGAAAAGCTAGAGGAAGCTCTCGGCCTCCGTCATGTCGTGCAAGAATCAAACAAAGTCTTCGAGCTCGAGATGTTGAGCGCAGATACTTTCTTGGTCCCTTCCCTTCTCACCCCACCTACCGCACCAGTCTATCACGAAAACTCCTTAACTGGCAAAGTAACTTGTTCAGTTCCATTCAGTGAGTAGCCTCCCAAGCACAGTCGGAATCTTTGACAAGGTAAACCTGCTCGCTAGATACTGCAGATGGACGTGGTTTGGTTGCGATAGGTTGCGCTGAAGGTGTATGGATAGGTTTCCGTCATGATTCTCGTTGTAAGGCGCCAGAATCAATTGCTCGCTAGTGACTAAATTTGAACATAGCTATGCGGCGTGTCCTTCATCTAAAGATGGTCACACAATGCGCAATGCTCGAAGACTTTGGCATCTTTCTTGTTCTCGCCGATAAGGTCTATTCTCTGTTCATGTCGACAGCATTGTCTCATTCCTTCCCAGTCTTTGTTTGCGTATCACATTGAAGCGCTCGTCCCGTCGTCCCCGCAAAGCGCCAATGCCAACCAAACCCCTCAAAAACTTAATGGCAACGTCCAATTCTTCAGCGTGGGGACTTTACTTGGTCGGACACTGGTGGTCTTCATGAAGCGGAAGAATGTAAGTAGCGTATACGTATGTCGTTGATCCAACTAACGGGAGCATCCAGATTGAGAGCATCTTTCACGTGGTTGAACCGATTATAGACAAAATCAATGAGCGGTCCAAGGCTCCAGCAGGGATCGGTAGCCGATTCGGGTTTCGTCAACCCAAAGCAGACTGGTTTCGGAGCTACCGCGACTTCTTCCTGCCTTGTGAATCGTTCGACGTCATGTTTCTCAAGGCCAGAATCGCGATTCTGTGCACAAAAGGCTTCGAGATTATGGATCTACTCGAGTAAGCACCATGACAATGCATTCTACAATGACCTCACTGTACTCTAGCTTCAAAAGTGTCACAATTCCACAGAAGGAGGACCCCCGCCTCGCTAATCTTGCCAAACGTTGTGAATCATGCCGACCGTTGGGCATGTTCCGATCCACCGACGAGGAATTCCTTCTCTGCTACAACGGTTAACAATTCCACCAAGAGAACTCGACGTTTTCTCATGCCTTTTTTCGTAGAATTCGGGCTATATGTGAACAAGCACGGGGATCCTAGTGCCAGCCGCCCTATGGTCACAGTTGAATGGGAAGGTATGCTCTGGAAAGCATCCTCTTGAAAGAGATTTACCTCCTACAGGAACTGCGGAACGAGTGGCCTTCCATGCGCCATATATTCTGTTGTTTGACACTCGGTTCATCGAAGTTAGAGACGTTGAAACCGGGAGACTTGCCCAAATCATACCAGGCAACGACATGCGTTGCATTTGGGATGGCCGTGGCCAAGCTTCGAACAGCAACGAGCAAAATCTAGCTGATCATCGTAACGGAGTCCTTCAAGACGCGCGAGTTCATGGCGTTATGAATGCGTCAGAACCCACACCCCAAGTTGGGCGACCACCCCCGCGGGCCGTGGCGCAACATGTTTTTGAGCTGATTCCAACCATTCCTTTGTACCTTCCTGGTAAATCACTTGCCTTGTCTTCCTTTCTCCGCTACTGACACTTGCTATATAGGCAGCCTGGCGTCGCCATCCACCACCACATACTTTGTCTCACCCTCACCACCACACTCTCCGACACTCCGTCCTGTCACTTATCGCGCATCGTAACCCACCTTGTTGTACCTTTAATGCCAGATAATTTCAAGCACCACACAATGAATATTAAAAAAAGGCATCCTCTATGCTACAAGTAATTTTGATAGCCAACAAACGAATGGGAGTGTACAGCATGGCTCCAACTGTTTTCATTCCTCCTTCTTGGAAGTTGTCCCTCCAACTCGCTTTTCGGCCTCAGTAATGGCCGCGTTGTCCGTTTGTGGTCCACCTGCAGCTACGAACGCAAAGTCAGCGGCCAGCCATGATCGAGACAGACTGGTCAAACCTCCAAACATTCCGCCAGCAGTTTTCCAGGGACGCTTCAGATCTCCCTCCGCCTTTTGCCCGAGAATATGGATCTTGAACGGTGTAGCGTCATAAAGACTCTTGATAGCCATGATTGCTTGGACGAACAGGGGCTGAGTGAACTTCATGTAGCCGTGCATAAAGCCCATCATGGCCATTCCCATATAGACAGAGCGGAGCTAATGACTATCAGCAGCAAGCCAGCTAGTGCCACGAGACGTACAAGCTTGGAGGTCTCCAGAAGGTCGTAGTCCCGCACAGTGGTATTAACGAGTTGGCCAGGCTCTTGTGACTGGCATCGAGCATTATACGGGTGGTTCAATTGGCGAGACTTGACCTACCATAGGGTTGGGGGCTTCGACTGTGAATCCGTCAGGGCCGAGCTTTGAGATGATATCAACGACACGCACCATATTTGAGAACCGTCTGGTCGTTCTTTGACTTGATCTGGGACGTATGAGAAACAGTATGAAAAAAGGCCGAAACGCTGACTGACCGTCATGGAAATGTAGTAGTAGACACTCAGAACGAGAATTTGCATGGAAACGTAGCCCACTCGAACATAGTAGAGCACTTCCGGGTCCTCGAAAGGTATCTTCCTCGCCACTACAAGCGAGTGAGTGAACAACGCGACCTTGCCAAGCGGAATAAACTACGTTGCATGACGGCGAGAGAGATGACCAGATTTGAGACGGCAGGGTTCATGGTACCAACGGTTGGGCTAGACTGCTGGGTTGAGGAAGAAAGTTGCGGTGGCAAAGTCACGTGGACGATTCAGATCATTTCCTGATTCTATTTTCAAAGATGATTTATGGACGAGTATATGAGTTGAATTTGTTATCTGTATTCTTCGCGGCTTCAATTCCTAATGCTCCTATGCTATATGCACGCCAACCCATCTCGAGTGATGCCTACAACAGGAACGACAACTACAAACATGAACCCCCCATCGTGCACACAATAGCACACCCGTCAACGGTCCTTGCAAGTTGCTCCCAAGCACCGTGTCTTAGTAGCACTAGTCTCTCATAACATAGAACAAAAAGCTCGACTTTTTAGCATGATTATGAAGCAATCTAAAGACATTGAGAGTAATCTAAGAAGAAAGTTAGAGAGTCCATTTGTGACGCCAAAAATGGTGACTTACAGTCATTGGAGTATGTGCACTTCGTTCCAGACGCGCAGCTCGTGCATCCAGTCCAACTTAGTCCACCACATCTAGGGTCCGTTAACTCTTCAAGGGATGGAAGGCATAATATGACAGCTTACTGTTCCCATTGGGCTGACACGCATCCTGTCGGAGGTGGGGTAGTACTAGCTGACGTTGTCGATGAGGCATGGCTGGTAGTCGTCGTTACACCTCCTGTGCTAGAAGTATTGAGAAGGAAAGTGACCATCGAGCGGGCAGGAACGCTCCCAGAAACCGAGCCTCCGCTTAAATTTACCGACAGAGAGCCGAGATCGTTGCCTTGAGACGACACGAAGGCAATTGCAGAACCAATGGTGAATCCATTCGCGGCCACACTCACAGTAGAAGCACTACCCCCGTTGTGTTCACCTGAACGCTAACACGGCCGTCGGGATTCTTGAATGCACTGAACTTGAGACTGCCAGAAGTAACAATGGAGGTGCCGAGACGCACAGCGCCGGGACGAACATAACGCGACCACTGAGCAAATGCCCACAGTCGCTTGGACACTGTCACAGAGGTTCCACTGGTCAAGATCAGTGCACTGTTGGTTGTGCCTGGCTCTGCGCCTATCCAATAGAGATACGCAGATAGCCTGGAGTTGACAATCCCGTCAAAGATGCGATTAGCCCATGTCAAGCCTTCGCCCGATGCTCCACTGCTATAGCAGTTATTGGGGTTGACTGGGTTGCTGAGATCAGCATACTCCGTCTGCCAAACGGGGAGGGTCGTGTTGATTTGACTAGAGCCAGGGGACGATGTATACGAATGGGAAGTGACGGCGCCAAGGAGGCTGAGTGCTCCAGCAGAGTTAATGGCATTGGTCATTGTTACTTGATTGTTCCACCCTTCTGAATCGCAGCATGTGATCTTTGGAGAGAGTCCAGCTGCTTTCAGGGTGGGTGAGAGGACCTTGATGAAGTCTGATCTCATTATTAAAGAGTGTTGAAAGGAAACGCAACACTCGCACCTGCAGCCTGTTGACCGTTACAGTTCATCGAAGAGTAACTCGGCCTGTAGGCTAGTCTAAGAAGGATATTGGACAAGACATAAAAGAGCTGCTTGCGTATATTCTGGCTCATTGAGAAAGCCGACGTGTGTTATAGTCACGCCAACTTGTGCGTAGTACTTGATGTACTGCGTGAGGAAGTTGGCATATGCTTGCTTCCAGTCACCAGATGAACAAGTCGACCCAGATACACCACATAGCGTTCCTCCATTAGCATCTGCACCCGTGGTCTACAATATATTAGGCAAGATGACGGGACAGGAGCTTTAAAATCCACCTTCATAAAGCCAGGCGCACTCCACGCATCTGCATAGATAGTCTTAACGCCGTAGTTCATGGCTTGTTGAGAAAACCACACTTGGTGTCCGTCGCTACCATCCCAGACGTATGATGGAGTTGCTGACGGAGACGATGGCTTATTTGGCAGAATGCTATCTCCCGACCCGCCCGATCCAATGCGATTCCGGATGATCGTCATACCAGCGCCTACATTCTGGTCGAAGAGTAAATCAAGAAACCTGCTTTTGTTCGGAAGCAGGATAGCTGGGGCGTTACATTAGTATCAAAGACCAAAAAAGAAAGAGGGTAGCCTGCTTGAAGAGATCATTTGCGTGGCCGAATGCTTCCGAAAAGCCAAATCCGTCCATAGTTTGGAAGGTGGTACCTGCTTGGACAGTAACAGTCTGAGCTTGTACATGGACAAGGAAAACAGCTAAAGCAACGAAAGAGGAAAGGACAGGCATGATGTCTGGGGGGGTAAACGCGAGCATGGATGAAGCAAACATACACATTTTTAGCAGGGTCGCGAAATCCGGGATTTGTGCGATGTTGAACCTGTCTGATCCCGAAATATGCCCGGCTACACTTTCCCCACTGGCCATTGGTAGGACGTGGGGGAGTGTTACCGACGTGTTTGACGCGTCTCGCTGGAGGGCTGGGTCGCCCACTTGACAGCCAAGTCGGCCGTGTGCCCGAAAAGAACGGGGCTGCATGGGCTGAAGATTTGGGCCCGGACAGCGCCAACCAGGCTCGCCCGCTGTCTGCATTCCCAAGCGAAAGCAGTTGCTTCAAGTTCTGCGCAGGGTCACCTCTGCTTTCCGAGGCTTGAACTCCGCAAGCCCATCTCCCACCCGTTCCGCGAAACACCAGATCCAGTTTAGCCCCTTCCTCCGACCATGTTTAACTTTGGGACAGTTAAGACTGAGTCCGCGGGTTGGAGCAAAAGTGATTCTGGTCGGCAGTCAAATCGACGAGGCGGACTTTTCAACGGTTGTTCGGCCCAGATCTGAGCTCCTGTTGCCCAGCGTCTCGATGCCGCCCACCGAATGCGAGTCCGAGCTTGGCTTCAGCGTGCTCGTCATTCCCGACTCGAGTGTTCAGCGTTGTCGAGGGAGAGCTTTTTGACTGCCGCAAGCGGCGTTATTTTCACAGTGTTGCCACTTGCTGTAGGTACAAGCCAGCCACGCCGCGTGTTCCGGCACGCCCCCCAGTGTGATTACCGCTCAGAAGACAGCGGGTAAGCTAGGCTGGTGAGCCATGTGAGTGTAGCGGATGTTGAATGGCAGTTCGATTCAAGAATTGTTGGCGGCCCGTCGAGACGAGATTATGTAATTCCTGCCAGGTCAAAACATTGTCATATGATTCGGCTTCCGACATTCCCGACACGCGCCCTCAAAGGCTCAAACCACAACCATGTCCACCGCTCTAAAATGCGAATCCTATATCTTTGACCCCCGACCAAACTATCCGCTACTTCTGACCGCTAAGCGTTATTGGTCCTCCACTACGTCTTCGACTGAGACTGCTGGGTACACGCTTGTCTTCGCCCATGCAACTGGGTTCCAGAAAGAGCAATATGAACCAACTATAGAGGACCTCTACCGCCTTCTTCCTCCCCATGTCTTTATTCAAGAAGCATGGAGTGTTGACGCGCCGAACAGCGGCGAGGCCGCAGATTTGAATGAAGAATATCTACGGTGGGGATATGATTCGACGTGTAAGACTTGGAATTATCCCTTTCCTGCTTTACTGAAGAATCCAGTCGGCTGGCAGGAGTATGCCCGCGGTCTGCATGCGTTACTTACCGGGTTGGGGACTGGTGTAGACGTGGATTTCGCGAAACGGAGGTTGATTCTTGTTGGTCATTCGTTCGGTGCCGTTGCACAGTATTTTTCTTTCTTCTTTTTGAGTACTGCCATCTATTGATATGGACATCAGGGTTCTTGCACTTACCTTTCAACCACAAATTCAACCGGAACAACTCATCCTCCTTGAGATCACATGCTACCGCCCAGAAGACCCGCGTTCCAAGGTGAATTACCTTGCAGAAGGATCGGAGAAGAGAAGAGACATCTGGCCATCTAATGAAGCGGCGCTCTCTCAATTCCAATCTCGTCCGCCGTGGAAACTCTGGGATCCACGAGCGCTTCAACTCTTTGTGGTGCGTTCTCGTGAGTGCAATAGCTTTGTGTGTCATTCTAATCCAGGAACATGGCCTTCGCCCTTTACCATCAATCGAATACCCTGATAAGCAAGGCGTCACTCTACGATGCACTCGCAGGCAGGAGACTGCAACCTACCGCGACCCGCATGGAATTGCAACTACTTATAACACTATTGGACGCCTATCGAAACGTGTGCCGATACACCTCGTCTATGGCTCAATAGCAAATCATATACCTCGCCCAATGATCAACGACTTTCTAGACAACGGAATTGGGCGAGAAAACATTGCATCGCTGAGACATATTGACGGAGCTGGGCATCTGGTTTGGACAAGCTCATAACAAATTTTTACTGTGTTAATATTTCCTTCTCCAGATTATTCAAACTCACCCAACAGAGTGTGCTGGGGTGATTCTTGATATTTTAAAACAAGGGCAACAATCTGCCAGGTTGTAGGCCTACTCCAAATCTGATATGGGTAGGCCGAAGTATTATCCATTGGGTGTACATATAAAAAAAGCGAGATAAATAAGTAGTAGCGGCATATTCTACACGGAAAGTTAGCTGTTCCTCAATCTTCGTCTTCAAACCGTAGGATTTGGGCATCTTCGTCGATAGGTAAGTTCCTATAACCTCGTCTGCTGGGGAATCGGGTTTGGAAACGGGATGTCGTCCACTCCCATGCAATGCCTGCGAGGCCAATGAGGAACCAGGGGACTGATGCCACCGTGTCAATAACACCACCGGATCTGCGCGCAAAGTTAGATCCATCACCAGGGAGGCGAATGTTGCTGGGTGCTTGTCAGTCAAGTTGTTCGCAGTGGATGGAATGGATAACGCACCCGCGAGCAAGCCCGCTGGTTTGGTAGTAGTAATAGGCGACCAAAGCAACAAAACAGACGGGAATCAATAGCACAATAAACCAAAAGAAGCCACTATGGCCCTTGAATCCGGGGCATTGGTGACGTTGACCACGGTCAGGTCTGTCTCCGCCATCGCATGTCGAGTAAGATATTTTGCGGTAAGGAGTCCGCTCGTACCAGTATTCCTCCCCATTGCGACATGAATCGTCAGGCGGTAACGGCGACATGCCTGGCGAAAGCACGCATTCATCTGCATCGTTCTTCTGGTAGTTGAACTCGCATTCAAAGTCGGCTTTCGCGCAAAGGCAGTTCCGCTGAATACGATCCAGAGCTTTGGGCTGGTCACCGACTACGCAACTGACATCGCGCACTCTTCGATGATAGAGAGTCTGCGCAGCTCTTGTCAACTATGAAACATCAAGAGGAGCACACAACAAACCTGTCTGCCAAAAAGACACTCTTCTTGCCGTCCCTCGCTGGGACTCCAGAGCTCAAAGTCATCTTGACCAGGATTGTCAATGCTAATTGAACCTGCCGGGACGCTGCGAGTCAGATGGGCTCGGTTCAAATAGAAAAAACTCACATTTCTTTGACGTCAGAGCAGTGAAGTCGATATAGACAACAGTCGAGCTCGATTGGTGCGGCATCTTGCCCATAAGGATGAATCGGCGACTTGTGTCTTGTGGAACAGTCACAATTGATGTAACGCGCATCGATTCTTCAGTGAACTGGTATTCGTGCCAGCTGAGGCCTTCGTCTGTGCTGTATAAGATTCGATCCGTGGGTTGTTCATCATTCGCCATAACGAGAATCGAGCCAGAGTCTCCGAACTCCCACAAATGCGCGTCCTTATGGACTTCTTCCCAACTGAAACCACCATCCCGACTGAGAAAAGTGTCGCTCTGATCATATGGGGCAAGCGCCTCGCCAACGTTACCGACTGCCATGATGAGTCCAACCACAGAGGGACTGCTGTAAGTCGCTCGAGGATCGGTGCGTTCAGTATATCCATGAATTTGTAAGCCGCATTTGGTGCTGGTGCATTGATACTCTTTGCCATGTGAGTCCAGCTTGGGAGGATTCAGGGGTTTCCAGGTGCCACCTGAGATTCGACTTGATTTGACATCGCTGTGAGAGGACGGGGGACAAACTCACCATCGTTGTGAGTGATTCTTGATTGAAGCTGCTTCCGGCCGGTTAGAATGGCTTCCTGAGGGTTGGCCACGACGTTGATAAGGGCTATTCCATCTAATCCAATTATCTTCTCAAAGTCCACGAAGCCGCGTTCGTCTCTGTTGACATTTTCGACAGACAGTCCAAAGTACGTTCCATTGGAGTTTGACTTGAGAATATTGCCCCAATGCAGATGAGGCGCGTCGGACATGGTCATCAGGAGGAAAAGCGAGCCAGTGTTCGATTCGAGGATGGTATAAGCCTAGGAGAGATGAGAAAAGGCACGCATAACGATGAAATATAGCACGTGGGTTTCAGGGTGCATGCTTGGTGGGAACATTCCTGTTGCGAACCTGACACCATCGAGAGAGATTTGTAGATCCAGCGATTTTTTCTTCGGTAAGAGCTCGGCGACAACAAGGAACTCGGAGAACTTGGCAAATCCGACCACTTGGTCGAAAAGCTTCTTTTTATTCCGGAAGTAATTTGAGCCTGCTACAAGACCCAGTGGATTGTCGGATTGGAAGAAACGCTGAGAGCCCGATTTTTTATTATACGACTCGCATAGAATTTCAGTTGGGTCGGCATCAAGTTTGTGATCCTTGGCCCAAGCACAATTGATGACATAATTGTCGACATAGTACCAAGTTCGTCCATGGTCACGGGAATATTGGGCCTCAGCATGGCAATTTTGTGCCAGCGCTCCGTCGCAGTCGCGATTACCAGTCCATATAATTTTATCGGCATCTGGGTGGAACCGCAAGACCTGGGCTCGGAAAGTATTTGGCGGCGTTGGTGCCGTATAGGGATTCCAAGTTCGCCCACTGTCCGTCGTAGCGTAGAACTTGGAAGAAGCGGTTATCAGGTATGCCCTGTCGTTGCTGTACTTGTGATGATAAAACGCAACAAACTGTTCGGTGGGAAACTTGGCCTCCCAGGTATAGCCCTCGTTACTTGACTGCCACATAGTACCATCTTCCAGTCGAACGAGGATGGTCTTAAAAAAGCATCAGTTATTGATGCTTAGCCGCTGAAGAAGTGTACCGTGGAGTCCTTGAAGTATGCATGTTGTGCAATGGAACTAGGGAATTGGTTCTGAGGGGACGGTGAACAAATCTATGGAAAAACCAGAGTAAAAAAGTACCGTCTTGTGTGTGACAGCTCCTTCAGCGGGCTGCGCTGTTAGTTAGGATGAGTAGTGAGAACTAGCAAGGGAAAGAATCAAACCAACCATCTGAGCACGGCTTGGATATTTTTTGATCTTTTATAGTGCCGCCAGTGCAAGTGTTTCCAGGAACTTTGCGATACCCGGAAGAACCCTCGTATTGTTGATCTGGTGTCCGGCAAGAACCGGCTGGCGGGATTTCAAGCCCAGCTGGAACACATTTGGCACCATCTCGGATGAAGTTGTAGTCACTTGGCGACAGTCAGTGTTTGTCTTCACGAGAGACAACAGCAAAAGTACCATTCATAGTCGGCATCTGTGCATGAGCAGTTGTCTTCGTGCTCCACAGGGTCACGGAATTTTTCGCCGACGAAGCACTCAACATCAGCTTTTCGTCGTTTGTACCATTGCTAGAACAAGAATCAGATAAGCATCAATATACAAGAAAAGTCAACCTTATGTCCCATAATGCACTCACTAGCTGACGCGCGGGCATACCATTTCTCGAAGTCATTCTCTTGGCATTTACTATGACGGGTACCGTCAAAGTCAAGCTGTATGAGAACCAAACGACCAATGTCTTTGGTTTGATCTTTGCGAGCGACCTGGCCAAGAAGCAGAAATTTCTGAGAGGTCGAATCAGGTAAAGTTAATAAGGCACGAGCTCGGAGTTGAATGCCGAATTTATAGGTGTGCCTACAATGATTAACGCAGGCTTGAGGTGTTCGAGCACAGCTTACCATTTTTTACCCATGTTTAGCGAATACCGCACTTCATCTACTCCGTCCTCGTCATTTACGACAACCAGAATGCTCCCAGAATCGCCAAATTCGTACTTGTGTGCGTCTTGCCTAATCATGCTCCAGGTCAATCCGGCATCAGTGCTCAGGAAGGTATCACACTCCTCATAGGGTAGGAGTGTGCGACCGATGCTCCCAACACCCATAACATAACCCGGAGCAGGCGATGAGAAGATGCGTCCAAAGTTGTGTGGTGTGGTGACGGAATGGAGATGCAACGAGCAGTCTTCGATATTATCAGTGTTACAACCCACACGTTGACCAGAGCTGTCTTTAGAGGGAGCGCGAATTGGTTGCCATGTACTGCCGTCGTCGAAAGTGATGAGGGAGCGAAGGAGTTTGGGTTCATTACGTCCTTCAACATCATTGGCGTTGGAAACGACATTAGCTATGCCTATCCCCTCAACACCATAGATGCGTTCATAATCGACAAAGCCCAACTCGTTCCGATTCGTATCCTTCAAGCTTTCCACGAAAAAAGTCCCATTCGAGTTACTGACAAAAAGCGTGCCAATACTGCTCATATCTTGCAGCACGACATCGACAGCGAGGGAATGCGTTGTTGACTCGACAAGGGTGTAAGCATTTTCGCGCAGTCGAGATGACGAGCCATGGGGAAACAGAGCCTTGGCCCAAGTTTTGGTGTCGATCGTGACATAGAGCAGCATTTCCCCTTTGCCACTGGGTGAGAGATCCTTGAGAGCTACGACTGCATATTTCGATACGATCGCAAAGGCGACAACCCCATTCGCTCGTTTGCCAATCCCAAGATCTTCGACCTTCTTGTCTTTAACGAAGAAGTCTGTACTCGAGTAAAGGCGGGAGGAGGAGAGGGCATGGCCCATGTTGGTCGTCTTCGTGTCAAACGCGACGCAATACACCAAGTCTGAGTGGGCTTCATGTTTGAAGTCGGCACTGCTATGAGCAAATTGGCACCTGGAGGTCTCGGAAAGCATTAACTTGGCTTCGGAACCGAAAGCATCGTGGGTTATATAGGTCTGTTCTCCTGGTTATGTATTGTTGGAAGCACATCGCGAACCGCATACCTCGTCGTGGCAAATTGACATCCAGCCACTCTTTTCACAAGCAGTGCCTTGGAAGAGGATGGAGCCGTATTTTTTGGGGTCAGAGTGAAAAGAAAGCGGTCGTTGAATCATAGCTGGAGCAATAGGAACCGTGAAGCTACGCCAGCTTTTGCCCCGGTCTTCTGTTCGATAATGGGTTTTCGTACGCGTCAGCACAAAAGCCTAGAGAGTTGAGGACGAATGGTTCAATTCACAGGAATTCAAGGCTCACGTAGCTGTTGTCGAAAGGGTGCTCAATAACCATTACCGCTTCTCCCTTTGGAATGTCTTCTGCACGATGCCAGCTTTTGCCTTCGTCGTCGGAAACATATACGTTCCCTTCCACAGAGTCGTGGTAAATGATCGACTTGAGCAACGATGAGATTCCCAACAGAGAAAGAGCAATGAGCATACAGTCGTGTCATCAAAGTAGAAGAGCCGGGCTGGAAGATTTTCGAATGAAGTAACCGAATGGGTTGGGCTTTGGGCAGCGGCGAGGAAGCCGCAAAAAGAGGCGAAGATGAAGGCGTAAAGGTATAGGCGCATGGCGCGAAGGGACCACGTCACGTCCAGCTAGTACGCCCAAGTCAACGTGAAGCGATAAATTGGAGTTGTTGTTGTGACAGTGGGTAACACTCTTCACTCTCATTCAGCCTCGATGCCATTGTGCGGTAATTCTAGTCGGAGCACACCTTTCAGCCGGGGCAAGCCTGTTAGTTCCTCTTCCCTTATAAATGCCAGCTTTGTCATTTTGATAACTGGTTTTATAGTTGCAGCGCAAAGTTGTTGGTTCGTCGCATGCTATGGTTGTCAAATCATCGACCTGACAAACGCGCAAGTCTGTGGTGACGGAGCTTGTGGTACGCCATAACTTGCGCCTCTTGCGCGTCGCTCGTTGATCCTTATGGCAGTAATTCTCTAGGAAAAACATCTCTTCTGAACGTTTTTACCCGAGGTTCACCACTTGTCCAACCGTTCCGCCGTCATTGACTAGTTCAAGGCTTCTTCAGCCAGGTTTAGTGCGGCAGATCGAACCGTCATTTCCTGCGTTCAATTTTGCCAGTGAACCCACCGTCTTCGAGAATTACGTGCATGATATTTTTGTTGACGAACAACAAGTCGAATTGAGCTTATGGGACACTGCTGGTGGGCGTCATGATCAAACTCCTTCCTCTCCTTATATCGTGGTCAGGGCAAGAAGAATTCGACCGTTTAAGATCTCTGTCCTATGCGGAAACGCATGTGGTCATGATATGTTTCTCGGCATGGGTTCACTAGCTATCGTCAAGTTAACTGTAACACAATACACAGGTCGACAACCCAGTATCCTTGGAGAACGTAGAGTCCAAGGTGCGACCGTTAAACTCCCTTCTAAATTTGAAGCTGAGGAACGAGTTTCAGTGGCTTGATGAAATTTTGGAGTACTGTCCTGGGGTTAAGGTAAGTGTTGACCTTGTATTTTCTGTTGGCCTGTAATATGTGTCTGCAGTTGGTGCTCGTAGGTTGGTTATCTGACATGTCCTGCATACTACTTCTCACTTGCTTATCAGCACTCAAGTGTGATCTGCGCGATGATTCTTCTGTCAAAGATCGATTACAGCGTCATGGAGCGCACTCAGTCCAATATGAAGAAGGACTCGCGGTTGCAAGACGAATACGAGCTTCACGTTATCTGGGTACCCCTCCATTTTTCCTGCCTAGTCCACAATTAATTCCTCTCTCAGAGTGCAGCTCAAAGCACAATCGTGGGGTATCTGAGGTGTTTTACGAAGCGGCTCGAGTCTCGTTAGCAACGCGACCGAAAGCGTCAGGCGAAGGATGCACGGTCATGTGATCAGGAACACGTTCGTTTCACATTTTACAGCGATTAATTGGGACATTTGCTTTCACATTGTATTATTCCTATTGCATTCATCATCCTCCTTGTACCACTTTTGGGCGACTCAATCGCGACGCCTTTCGATTACCTCGGATGTTCGCATTCTATCCAGGACTCTGGGGTTGATGGATGACCACTTATAACCAGTCCTCGGGTTACTATTATTATTAGCTAGAACTAACCAGATTGCTCATACTTACTTGTGATGGAAAATTTGGGCTATATTCCTCCTCCATCCCAGGTCATAGGGACGTTCTTGAGGAAGCAGAGAAACGACCTTGTGTTGACGTGGGTCACAGACTAGGCGTTGGGTCAAGTCGGAACGTGACCGCAGAGAATCCAAGGTGGTTATTCCATAAAGGATGTTGTGTAGAGTCCACGCAGCCAGGATTGAGCAAAATAAAGCGAAGATGAACCCGAATATGGCAAGCGTCAGGACGCGCAAACTTGGACATCCAACGAGAGGTAGATCGCAAGTTTCCTCTTTCTTGAGCAGATAGACACCTAGTGCGGCTCCGTAAACCCAGCGTCCCAACGGACCTCCAAAGAAAATCCATGAACCATACCAATCCCACCATATCGACCTGGACCACGTGTTTTTCTGAGAAAGATCAAGTCCGCGTCTGATTGAGGTGGTCAGGATTGTGCGTATGGGAAAGACTGCGATCGAGTATGTAAAAGGCACGATGAGGAGAAGAGCGAGAAAGCTGTCGAGTCTATCGAGCGTAACGCAGTTGCCAACCTTTTTGGGGAGGATTGAGCAAGGTTGAACAAGTTCATAAGCCGCACCCACCCAAGGACAGTGGTGATCGAATTGTAGACGACAGACATCACAGGTTGAGCAGTGGTGAGTGCGTGGAGGCTTCCACGCGTCATTACACTTGAGGCAAGTCGCCAGGGCACCAGCGCTGTCAGTGCATTCGTAGGGCTCCTTCAATTCATCGATATTCGGGAATGGATAGAGCGCCACGTTATGCGTCTTACGACCGACGGCTAGAGAGACGTAGAGTCGGCCCATAAACAGTATTGAACTCGGGACAACAGCCAGATAGAGCCCTAACTGCCGCGGTTAACGTTCAGGGAAGGAAGTAGTCTCAAACGGGAATCTACCTCCAAGCACTCTGCGACGCTGGTGCACTATCAACCAATTGCCTAGAGCATTCCTGAGATTGGGATGTCTACCGAAAGTATTTTACGCACATGCAATCTCAACGGTAGTCAAGTACAGGCTGGAGCTACCATGTCTGTTACTTTATAGATCGGCAACTCGAAAGTAGAGGTGCAAACAGAATAAGCGTCGCCACTCCAAGCTGAAGGCCCGTTTCGAGTCGACGGTTCTGCATAAGGGAGAAAATGTATTACGGCACGAGTCTTACGTCTACGAAGGTCTATCTAAAAAATCTACATTCAAATCAAGCCATTAAGCCACGACGCGTTCTGCGTCGACTGCGACACAATTTTGGGGGCGGGCGGTTGAGTATGAACCGTGTAGTCGGACAAAATCCAATCGAAGTCGGCCAATGGGGGTGGAGCTAAGAGGACAATTAATCACTAGCCGAATGAAGAAATTAATAACGGTTTACCTGGCTTCACGTTGCTCATCCTTAACGAATTTTGCAGCATCCCGGACACAATCAGACGTCGCAATGCGGGACCGTCAAGCGACTATCGAGAAGAGTCAGTGTCAACTACGCATTGTCATGCGAAGTAGATACTTGGGGTTGGGGCTTGACGAATGGTGGGGGCGGTGACGCAGATTTTTTCCAAGTGCCTAGTGGTCCAGAGGCTTTGCCAAGGAATGCTAGAACATCGCCCTTGGTGAGCATTCCTCGGACACCTGTACCTGTGATCTCAGAAGGCTTGGAGATGTTGTATTCTACTAGCAAACGGTGCACGGATGGAAATAGAGGTTGAGAGTGATTGCCAGTAGAAGAAGGATGGAGGCGAGGTACAGGCGACTCTGAGTTGGGGGGCGACTGTTGCTTTGGCTTGACCGACGAATCTTCTGTTGGAGGCTGCAGATTTGAAATGTCGTCGCCTGATTCTGCCAGAAGCGCTATGACTTGACCCACGACGACGTTTTTTGAGCCAGCGGGGACAATGGTCAATCCCATCACACCGTCGTCCTGAGCCTCAACATCTATTGTAGCTTTGTCCGTTTCCTGCAGAAAGTCAGTCTGAAGAAATGACTGACAAAAGCTGGACAGTACAATCTCGAGTAACACATCCCCCGCCACGAACGCGTCTCCTGCTTTCTTTTTCCATGAGGCAATCCCACCCTCAGTCATTGTGGGAGACATGGCGGGCATTTCAAGACGAGTAATTGCCTTTCGAGCAGGCGAGCAGTGGAATGCCCGAGACGCAGGTCGATACCAACTTGCCATAGCGTTACGTACACGCGGACCCGTGACATTGTTACATAAGGCATTTGTTACAATCCAACTACCCCTTGTTCCCTGTAATACGAGACCTCAACTGCAACTCACGCGCATGATTTGCTTGTATGCCCTTCATCGCTTTGGCCATGATCTGTGCCCACAAATAAGGCTGATTACTGCCCCCAGGGAGAGCGCTGCGAATATGATGTCATCAACAATAGTTCGGCACTCGGAGCGAGAACTCACTTCCAGTATTCCCAACCTGCAACGCCGCCGAATGCAAAGTGCTGCTTTGAGGCGAGGTCGGTGACGGATTGAACTACTTGATCAATGTCGACGAATCCATAAGAATCTTCAGGATTAGTCACTGTGATAGATGCTTTAGGTCTCAAGAGTATACGGAAGGGTTCCTACCCGTGGTGGCAACCAGACGACTTGGATCGAGCCCTCGACCATAATTGACAATCTCTAGGTATTGGTCATCGGGGAAGAACTACCAACATGAGAGACGAGAACGAAAAGACGATTACCGCAAACATACCGTCCCAAATCCCTAGTCGAATATTCGCAAGTGGCGATTATGTAATAGACCATCGACGCACCGAATAGAATTGTGCATTATACCTGAGAAGAGGTTTGAATTAAGCAACGCAGAATCTCGCTCTGGGACTTGCCATGATATGAGATGGCCTGCTTTCTTCTCGAGCTCGATGTAATCGAACCCAGAGAGATTTCCGCCCTGTTCTAATGCACTAGCAACAGGTGCCAGTGTAATGATGAATTCGGGGCCAAAATCACGTCTCAGTTGCTTGATCAGGCGAATGATATCGTCGAGGAGAACGCCTTCTTCGACATCAAGGTCGACCCCATCCAACTTGTACCTTTTCGAGTTTCAAAAAAAAAGCAAGCGCAAATGACGAACACCCCCACCGCCGAATGTAGTTCCGCAGAACCTGAAAGTTGAGAATTGAGAAGTTGAACTCGCTGACACACACGCACCGGATAGTAAGTTGGAAAAAGCGTCTGATTCAAGCACGGCACGTAGGATCCCGGAGCAGCGCCCCCGACCATGCCTAAACATATACTCAGTCAAGTTATTAGCCGAATAAAATAAAATAATGCAAACCAATTATCTTTATGCCAGTCTTCTGAAGGATCGCAATGTCTTTCCACATTTGATCGAAGAATGGGGCTTCAGGCACATAGTCGTTCAAGTGAACGGATACATCCGCAAAGTTGATATGAAAAGCAGCAAGCAACAAGCTACAGCAGGTCACGGTGTTCAATGATCCTCATAGGTCACGTGTCACTTACTGGCTGATGACACCAATGAGTGGCAGAGGCGTCACGTAGTGTCCGAAAGGCGAATTGGGTGGGAGTGTTCTGCGTTGTGTGGGCAAGCTTATCACAGTATGGTCGTTACTCACGGATCGTACTGAGTCTGGTAGTACACCAAAACTCGATGACCGCTCGATATAGTTTCCAACACAGTGGAATTCATGACGAGCACAGGAAAACAGCCAACGCAACAGGGCCTTTTAAAAGTCCTGCTGGAAGAGGAAGCGTCTTGGCAGGGCCGGAAGCAACTATTTGGCTTAAAGTCAGCTCCGGGGTAACACCTCAAAAATTCCGCCATTAAGTGATATTTAATGGAGAAATCTATTAGCAGACCAGCATTATTATATATTGCATGTAGGGAAAAATAAAAAATACAGTGCTTAACAAATCATCGTGTGGGGAATGCCGAGGACATAGGTGAGACTTGAGCATGACTTCCATCGTCCACCGAGGTGAGCGGGGGTACACTCGTACTGGGGGTTGCGGGCCCAGTTGAAACCTTGCCAATAAACCAGGACTACGGAAAAATGTAAGGCGTCACAGACTTGAGCCACGGAACTTACAGGTACCCAGCCGCGATCCCCGCCTTCTTCTTTGACGGCCTAACAAGGTCATGAGTTTTGTTTGACCCCGAGATTTTGAAAGGAATGCCAACATATGACCAATGGTTATATCGCTTGAAAACACGCAGAGCGTCGTCCTTGACCAGGTCGAGCTCTTCTTCGCCCTTTTTCTTGTAGTCCATAAGAGCAATACCAGGGAAACTGGTTGAGATGATGCTCAAGGGCAATATGGGAGTTTTCGCTACTATTGGTGAGTCTGGAGGAGATGCAGAGCTTGACCCGTTGGTCTTAGCAGCGGCAGTGGCTTCTGCTATGGCGGAGGCCACAGGAACATTCGTTTCCAGAAGACAGCCTGCAGGAACCCAGCCTTGTTTAGCTACGTCCGTATCGACAACTCCTGAACCAGTCGGGTCGCGTTGAACCACCCACCAACCCCTTGCGCGGGAAAGAATAATGAAGGTATCGCCACTGAAATCAACATCAGTCACAGAGTCAAGTTGCGAAAGTTGAGGCTTGCACGACAACATCAAACTCGTCTTCCTGCTCAGCCATGTACGGATAAATAGCAACCGCGTATGACACGCCAGATGCGGACAATGGTGGCATTTCTCGGAGAGTAGACTCGGTTGAATCACCACGTTTCAAAGTCTCGTTCGCGGTAGAAACAACGGAAGACAGTATGTCATCACCGCTGGCCCCTCGTTCGACTGAGGGGGACATGATTCCCATTTCAGCCCAACCAGGCGCTGGGCTAACAGCCGTGGCGATACCAGGGCCGGCGCTGGCGGCCAAATCTACCTCCAACTTGGGAGGTCTATGTGGTTGGCGGTTCGAGGTTGAAGGGGTCTTGGGGTTATGACCGAGGGTCGCACTAGTATTAATGGATCCATTGGTCATTACGGATGAAGCCTTGCGCGCAGCGTGTTTCTGTTGGGCGACAGCGATTGGAGAGCGGATGTCTTTAATGTGCTTCAGCATAAACACAGGATTTTTCCTTGCATCCTTGAGTTTTTGGAAGAGGAGAAGAGGCTTTTCGTCGTAGCTTAGGCATCGCTCAATCCGGTTCCCTGGCTTACGATGAGATGGAAAGAATTCTTGATGTGACACACCAACCAGTGGAACCGTAACATATGAACATTGCATAATTCTCCCAGTTATCGTTGTTGATGCGATACTTCTTGAGAGCGGCCGGCAGGACTTTCCAAGTTGGGTCCTCTAGACTAACTTTAAAGCTCTTGCTACCCATAAGCGTATCTGAACTGTCTGTCCTCGCAGTCTTTGGCGCTACAGTGGTGGCGCTGAGGTTTGGAGAATCCGTCGGCTGCCGTGATTTTTCAGGGGGAGTGACGGACGAAGAATGGGTACTCCGATAGGAGAGGTCGTGCTCAAGCTGCTGGGGGGATGGGTGGGGAGAGTCTATGTCTGCTTTCGTTGGAGACTTGGAGGGACGAACAAATTGCTCCCATTTAAAGGAAGGCTGTCGCCGTAGACCTTGAAGATCATCGCGGGTTTGGGAGGCACGTTGGGCGTTGACATCTTCAGACAGCATCTGGAGGGTCGCGTTCAAGCGGCGATTCTCTTCCTCTAGTTGATCCAGACGATTAGCTGGGACCAGTTAGACAGCAAAACGTATTAAACAACAATATACCTTGTTCCTTGATCATGGAGTAAAGCCTGTCTATGGACAAGCCTTCTGCTTTTTCAGAAGCTTCGGCTGGACAAATATGAGCGGTTGAACAGTTGGTAGTCATTCTCACACTAACAGGGTGGGACCCAGTCGTCTAGCTCAATGGGAACGTTGTGAGCGAGCTTGAGTAGATAAATGGCCTTCAAGATAGCCAGTCGTTGACCGATTGTAGAGACACCAACGGCCTTCAAAGATTCGGCATTCAGCATACACAGGACTTCACCAGTGATACTGTGCTCTATAGGGATGGTTAGATGAACAAACAGCACGAGTCAAAGAGACTCAGCGTGCCTTTGATTTGCTGCTCATACTGAGCGAAACCGATTGACGAAAGCCAAGCATGTACATCTTCCTCTAACCATTCGTGAACGTTATCAGCCTCCATTCTCACGTTAAAACAACAGTCCGCCCGGTCTTGGACCGGCGACTATATAGAGGGTTTCGCAATGAGGTAACGTAGAACACGGTAGTTGAGAGCAAAAGCAGTCGTGAGCTTAGTGAGTGACAGTCACAAACCCCTCCCTGGCATGGAAGATCCATGGGCTAATGCATGGAACACAGCTGCTGACGACGAGCAAGATATCTCAGTACCCTCATGGGACACTACACCAGCCTGGTCTGACAGCTCTCTCTGGGCCACTGCGACCGATAAATCAGCCTGGCAATCAACTTACGATGATATTCCACTCACGAGATCGGACAGTCCCAATATACCAGAGCCATTAGCTGAGGAGACAATTACCAGCGCCCAGCTAGAGCAAGAGCCTCAACCAGCTCAATCACATCCTTCTAGCCCGGATGCATTCGGAACATTTGAGACCGGTTTGTCAGAACATACCTCTACAGTATCGGCTGTATGGGCCCCGGCTGACTCCGAAACTGCTTGGGGTGGTACATGGGGGGCGACTGAAGAGATTGAAGACGAGCTGCCAACGGATGAGTGGGAAGCAGCCAAACAACGGAAGGAAAAGCAAGATCAACATGTGGTGTGTATCCTTGGAAGCACTTTCTTTTGAGTTATTAAGGCTTTCAGCCCCCAGAACTGCTCGCCTCAATTCTTAGCCAAGTAGCGGTGCTTTATCCTGCACCAGAAGCAACGCATCTGGATCCCAATGACTATCGTACTGGCCGCAAGAATGGGCTGGATTTGATCATGTTCGTACGAATGACTTAGATTGTCTTCTCGGTGTTGACTGTCAAGAAGAAATACGACTCTTGTCTCCCCGGGTCTTACCCTAGTACCCATCCCTCCATTTTCCAAGTCAGCCATTGCCAAAGGCACAACGGATGCCCTTCGACTTTCTCGCAATGCTACATTCATTCGGCACAGTCCCCTGGGTCATTATAGTGCAACCAAAGGGTCCACAGCATGGGAAGCCTCTGTTAAAAACCGACCAGAGGTTTTGGGTGAACCGGATCTATTGCCACCTGGGTGGCGCATTGTCGATTCCAAGTTGAAGGTCGAGACCGTTGTAGTGGACAAGAAAAAACACGGAGGGTTGCTTTCATTCTTCGGTCGTCGTTCTGGCACCCCGCCCATCATTCCGAATGGAGATTTTGTCTCTCAGCGTTCTGCTTCACCCGTATCCGTCTCTTCTCCTCGCGCCAGTTCAGAGAGCAGCATGAAATCGCCCACCAATGCTTCAATGACCGCCGCGAGTCCAACAACTTCTCCCAACCAGGAAATAGAAACCAAAAATGACCAAGACTTGACACCAGCATCGTCGACTATCTCACGTTTCCTGGGACGTTTTGGTCGTAAGAATGGATCTACAGGATCAAAAGACCTCTCTTTGTCCGTAGACGACGTCGACTTCTTGGCCGATATTGATGGTGCTGGCCCGCTGGCTTCTGGATTCGCTCCCATCGCTGATTTTTCTATATCAACCGACTTACTGGACGACCCAATACCATTACCAGCTAAATTAGCCCCACCCCCGCCCCCCGTTATTGCGACACTTGACATTGTTTCCAATCAACCGAAACTCGTGATCAGGCCAAACCTCGACGGCTTGCAATCATCTAGTACTGTCCACCCATTGGACCCACCATCAGTTGACTTCATAGCGCCAGCTGTGAGATCTGTCTTGCCCGCGGACGAGATCGACTTTTCAGCCTGGCACTTTGATGACGAAATGTCGGATGTCTCGACGACGCCTGCCCTGTTGTCACAGACGAATAGGCAACCGTTGAACACTCGAGCTGTTACAGCCAACCATGCCCCCTTGAGGAAAGCACCCACTGCAATCATGTCTTCAGGCTCTACAAAATCCCCAGTATCCATTCCCAAGTTGCATTCCTTTTTTCCACCTCCACCTGGTTCTAGCTTATCTCCACCAATGGAGAAAGCAAGAACACTGTCCAATTTGCTTGACGACGACTTCTCCGGATTCAGTGACCGCCAAACGGACTTGTCGTCTTCAACTTCTTCTCAGCGCACATTACTAGGATCTTCTGCTGGAGATGGCAATCTTGATGCTTTTGACGACTTTAATGAATTCATGGAGGCATCCCCGAGCGAGCCAACTACTTTGCGGACACCCTCACCCCCGAGACCCCCGGCTAAACCGCCTCGTTCTTTGCCCGCGCCGCTCAGCCTCGTGGATCCCGATGACACACCGCTAGCTTTGATGCAGGCTCACCAACGAACAAAAAGTCTTGTAGATAGTGCTGCTGCGTCTTCCGGTATTCGTTGGCCAGCCCCCGCTTCGCCCGTGCCAGAACTATTGCCTCCCCCCGATACAACTTCACCATCGACAATGCAAAGTCAGCAGGCTGCGTTTCTCAATCGCACGATGGATAAAAAGCTCACCCCGTTGCCCGTTCGCATGACATCCCAGCCAGTCTTGCCGTTTCAGCCCCCACTGCTATCTACTGCATCAAGCAAGTCGACTGGTGGTCTTTCGGCTCAAGATTTATCCTTTTTCGAAGGGTTATAACCTGGCATCACCAACTATATTGTACTGGTAATACTAGTTGACAACTAAAATTGCATTTGTAGGTGTAAAAATCATCATCGAGGGCTGTCGCAGACGCTACACTTGTCGGAAGCCGTTGAGGGGTTTTTTAGCATACACAGGCCGCAAATCCAGTCTCCGTCTAAAATCTTGTTTGGCTTGATCGACCCGGCAGCAGCCCAGTCAAAACCCTTCGTTTCGACTTTCTGCTCCTTGTGCTGGCGGGGTGCTTCACACACAGCACATTGGTCCAAATTCTCTGCTTCGTTGTCCAAGAAGCACGTGTCGCACCTCCACCCTGAGAGTTTGGGCGCGGCACCACCCGCAGCGGCCCAGTTAAAGCCCTCCACCGCCTTGGCTTTGCCCTTGTCGGTCAAAGGTCGCGTGAAGTCATAAGTCGGAAGATCGCGCTTTGTCATTCGGCGCACGGAATCACGAACACCTGAATGCTCATCAAGGTGCAATGGATTTGTAAGTGCAGGGAAACTGAAAGTTGGGAGTGACAAGGCAGGTAATGAACGTGCCCTGTCTTTAGGATCCATCGTTGATGCTTCAATTCCTGATAGTGGTGGTGGTGTCGCTGGAGGTGCGAACGAATGACGTAGTTTGGAGGGCTCTCTTGGAACGTTGGCTAGAGGCTTAGGTCTGCTTTGTTCGCTAGGGCTAGGTAACGATGCGGTTATAGGTGTTGAGACAGATTTTGCCTCGATAACACTTGACTTCGCCGGTATGTCATCGGGAGGTTCCTCAGGGATGCGAGCGCGTTTGGATGCTGGGCCTTGTTCTTCGTTGGTGTCCCCATCGTCACGTTGTGACCCCAACCGTGGACTACGTCGTGGTGAAGTTGAAGAGGGTACATGAAGATTTGTCGGCGGGCGAGTCCGTTTGCTGCCCTTCGGCATTGTTGCTTCCATGATGTCTTGTGGGGGTACGATCACCTTTTCTCCCTTATCTTCCTCCTTGTTGGCATTATTGCCACGGGGGCGTTTTCGAGAAGTCGTTTCTGGCGCATGGGTGTTGGTTACTCGTCTGCTGACAGGGCTCGCTGCTTGATACGGGTTGCGAACATCGGCAAACCGCGTTGGAAGTTCAGCATTCGCATCACGAATAATGGCAGTTAAGAGAGAGGCAGCCTTTGTTGACGTGGTTGGCGAAGATGCACTAGATGATACAGACGATGCAGGCGAGCTTCCCCATGCTTGACGAAGAGGTGAAGGTACGACAGGAACACTCTTTACCTTTGTCATAGATTTTACCGGGGTGGTAGGCGGTTGAGCTGGCGTGGCAAGTGCTGGCACGCTGGCAAGTCGAGTGGGAGATGGGGCAGGGCCTGCTGACCGTGGGACAGCAGGAGGTACTGGGGAAGGAGTTTCCAACCGACGACGCTTGGTAGGTGCTTCGGCCTTGGGAGAGTCGCGGAAAACAAGATGGGGGGAAGAAGGCCTGGAAGGAGTACCGAAGGCGGGTGAGGTATAACGATTTTTTGATGGACGCGCTGAACCACCGCCTGACCAACGATAAATACCATTAGGATTCTTCGAGAGTGTTCTTCGAGGATTCATGGCCCCAGAGGAGCCGGAGGGGCCCACGACAAACAAATCAGTTGTGGGCGTCACCGGCGAATTGCCACGGGCGGGAGTTGGCGGAAGACTAGCACTGGACGAGAAGCGGAAAGGCTCGGGCTTATCGGGAGGAGTGCTCTTGTGAATCAAAGATATCAAGCCCTCCGCTTCCAGGGGAGTAATGGTCTGACCGCGCCGCTGATCGAGGAAAGACACGACTGTTTCGAGATTTTTTTGGGGAGATGAAGAGTCAAGTAAAAGATGTGGAGTAGGCTTGCTGACAGGAGCTGGTGACACCATGGCAAGATTGTGAGCCATCTAAGACTCACAATCAGAAACCGGAACGCGTCGAAATAATAATACTTTACCTGGCGCCCTCTTGCAGATAGATTTTGTGGTGCAACTCGTTCGATGTGTGTTTCTTCATCATCTTCATCTTCACTTGAGTCTGCCGGGGGTTCTCGTCGACTCCGTAATGGATTCAAAAAACTGAGCAGTCCAGTTGCTATAGCCCACGGCTGAATAATAAGAGTCAGCGAGAACAATAGACAAAAGCGATATAAGTACGGATTTCTTCGTGGTAGCCGGCCGAGAGTACGGTTTGGAATGAACTGAGCGCGTGCTTCTGCGCGAATTCGAGCGTATTGGTCCAGTTGTGGACATGGTGGCAGAAGACAAGGCTTTCGCCTGCCAAAAGCGTGATGTGATGTGATGCTGTGACAAACCGACCTCCTCCTTCGATGGCAGGTATCCAAGAGCGAAAACACCCATATCCACTCATTGACGCGGACCCTCATACTTCGAGAGTGATCCGCTATATGCGCCCCAGTGACTACGCCACCTGGGCCGCGTATACCGCTGGAACTCCAGTCGCCTTTTATGCCTGGGGTTTGTCGCTTCTTTTTGGCGAACCTCGCTCTGTCCTACTGACCAATTGTCAGAGAAAATTGACCGGACTGGCTTTCGAATGCGTCCCTGGCTATATACAGGAGGCTTTCTAGGCTTCTGTGCCGGTTTCCTCATTGCCTACTCTCGCTCAACAAAACGCTTTTGGGGTTGGACTGAGAACATCCGTGAAGAGAAACGCGACCTTGACGAACTTTCTCAACTCGCGCGCGAGGGCAAACCACTCTACGGTGAATCGTCACAGCCAGATTGGGTCAAGGCCGTTGCCCATCGTAACTCTCAATACGCGCCTTTGAAATTCTGTGGGTACTTTCGGCAGTCAAGTATCATCTGGTTACTGACCTGTGCAGCCCTCTTCCCGATGCTCAACCTCGTCAATCACCCATACCACGGCAAAGATCCCAAGTCGTATGGCTCGCCTGAAGAGCATGCAGTCTTGAAGAATGACGATGGTGTGCTGACGGGAGATGTATTGCGTACTAAACGTGATTAGAGAAGTACTTGTGTTAGCAACAATATATAGTCCTCAAGAGACTCCGTTCCGTGCATCAACCATCGTGACCTTGAACAAAATTCCGTGTTGCGGCTGGACCTCGGTGGTTGCTCGTCCACCGAGATTCAGGCGGGCTTGAAAACAGAGGTTGAAGAAATGCCATCTCAACAAAATGCTCTCGCTTCACATCCTCGTTTTGACGATCGTACCGACCGCTTTTGCGGCTTCTGGAGGCTATGTTCAACTTCCAGGCCCAGGCAATGCATCTTTCACAATGTACACCGGATGCTCTCAGCCAGCTTGTGGAGTCGCTGCCAATGGGTTCACAGCCGCCATAAGTCAACTCGCATTCGGCTCCGCACCAGGCATTGGCCCAGGCATATCAGACTTGTCTTGTTTATATTCATCGTCGCGCTCACAAACGATGCAGGCGACGCATGTGGCCGATGCTTCTCCTTAACGGGCAATCATGATCCCTTCTCCCCTTCTTATACTGGACCTTTTGGCAAAACCATCGTTGTTAAAGTCACCGATATGTGTCCGGTCGCAGGGAACCAGGTTTAAGTTCACCCAATCTCGCTCGACAGGATAACTGACCCACACAAGGAATGGTGCGGACAAACCGCTACAAGCGCCAATAATCAACACGGAATGCCCGTTCAGTAAGCTCAGTCACAGGTGTTCAGTATCCCAAGTCTTAACAAACAATGAGCTTCGATATCTGTCAAGACACTGGTGGGGCGGCCCAATTTTTTCCCTCTGGTCATGGTGCTCTCACAGGCACTTTCCAAGAAGTCAGCTGTAGTTCATGGTCAGGAAGTGACGGGAGTCCACTCTGGAATGGCGCATGCATAAGCGGAGAGAGTGCTCCGTTATGGCCGAGCACAGGCTGCGGAAACCAGGGGCTCGCTCCTGGTGCATCTGGTCAGTATGATCGTTAACTTTGACTTGGTGTTTTACTCAATTCGGCCAAAGGCAATCCAGCATCAACCAGCTCCAAACCTACGACGGGAACGACGACGACCACGAGTACACAACCCAGCACTACTGGCTGTTCAGTTTCCAAGTGCGCGAATCGCTTCGATCAATGCGGAGGAACGGGTTATACTGGGCCCACAGTTTGCATCTCACCGTACAATTGCGTTGCTGTTTCACCGCCTTATTACTCACAAGTGAGTTGGACTGGACTTGGATCAGTCAATGAGTCTGACGAGTGGTAGTGTCTCTAAAAATGATTGAACAGCTGGAGCTTGAAAGCGATACATGTAGTCTATTGTCTTTGTTTCTTTGACGCTATATAGCTCAGGTCAGTTATCCAACGATTGGGCGATTCAAAACGTACTGGTAGGGCTGGAGGGCGGGTCTCCTTTTCGTTTGAGTGACCTTGCCTGCAGTTTCTTGGCTGCGGCACCCACCGATGCGCCAGGGTTCTCTTCACAGTCGGCACAGAACCACTCACCGTCAGGCACACTCGCAAGAGGCGGCAATAGGCAGGAGATATGATATGGCGCATCACACTAATGCGAGCTCAGCACCTTGGTACAGTGTCAAAGTTTGCACATGCCTTTTCACACTCCAGCACTTCTGGTCCATCATCACCATGGTCAATACCACATTCGACACATGTTTCGGGAACATTGTCGACTTCAGGGTGTCTCGGGAGGTCAGAGTATTTTTCGTTGGGTCTCACAAGAAAGAATGTCGTGTTCTGACCCGCTGCGAGCCTAGTGAAAAAATGAGTAGGAAAAAAAGGACCACTATGACAGCAGCCACACTCGAGGACATCCACTCCACTGAGAGGAACGTGTTTCGTAGGTTTAGTGGCACTTTTTGGTTCGTCAGGACCAAGACCAAGTTCGTCTGCGAACGCCAGGCACGTGGTTAGTAGCCATTTATTCATTCAAGTATACCCACAGTTTGCTGCGTTCTGGCCCCATGCAACTGTCATGACTTGTCCTTCAACGTCGTCGTCGTCAGTGATCACCCAATGAGTTACGCCACCACAAGCCACGAAAGTCACTTTGCAAGCCCTAGCTCATAAAATGAGAGTTGGACAGAGCCACATAAGCAAACAGACATTATGTCTTGCATATATCGGAAAGAGGAGTATGGGGAACCCGAAGAGCCTACAAATCGTGAGTCGTATCGCATGCAAAAATAAACAACCAAAAAAACTTGCCTTCACCGGTGTTTTTCCACTGGGATTGGATATGTCAGCATGCTTTTCTGTCGCAAAGCGAGATCTAAAAAACCTTTCCAGCCATCCAGTACATGCCTTGCCGATCGACTACAACACTGTTCGACGGTCCAGCACAGACGATAGCTCCTCTCAAAAGTTCCTTGTTCCCGGCGAACTGGAGGATGGTCAAATGGAGCGGAATAAACCAAGGGCGACAATACATTAGGAACAATTTTCGGACGCAGTTCATCGACTTGATTCCCCAAGCCCAGACGGCAGTAGCCACCATAGCCCCAAACATAGACAAGTCTGCACGAAAATAATAATAAAACGACAGTGATCCGGTTAGCTGACATACCCTGTAGAGTCAAGGCTTATGCAATGTTGCGGCCCTGGTGGGTTATGAATATCCATGCTTCAGGAAGCGAGACACTTGCCCGCCGATATTTGTGTGACTTTGCTCTCAAAGCCCTCGATTTCAACTGCAAGAAATTAGTTCAAGGGATAGATAGCACTTATCGCCTACTTACTAGGGTCGCTGACGACTTCGAATGCGACTTTGTTTCCAGTAATGATCCTTTCTCCAGTCCGTCCGTTGCCAAGCTGGCCCTTTTCACCGCTGCCGAAGGTGTAAACTTTGCCTGAAGTTGTGATTACAGCACTAAATGTGATGCCAGCCGCTGCTTGGGCTACATGTTCTTTGATTCCAGCCTTGGAAATGACTGCAACAGTTTTGAAGGTCGCAACTTCCGATGAAGTGGGGTGGCCGCACTGAAAACGATTGTTAGCTGGAGAATTCGGTTCTGGGTGCCAACCTGGCCGACAGTGTTTACACCTGCAGTCCAGAGCTCTCCGTCGGAGTCAACGAGAAGGGTGTGGTTCCGCCCACAAGCAGCATGAACAAATTTTGTTCCTGGAGGTGCGCCAAGTTCAGATGGGGTCAGACGCTTTGGGGCATGTTCAGAGATAGACTCTGTTTGGGAAGGCAAGCCTAAAGCACTTGATACGTTGCGGCCAAGTAACCAAGCTGCGCCATCCACATCGAGTAGGACTGCGTGGCAAGCATGGCCACTAGTATGGATGCTAACTATCTGTTCCAAGTTGTCAATGAATAAAAAAAAACAACAAAGTTACCTTGACATTCGCCAAAGACCTCAGAATGTGTGGCTCCGCAAGATCTGGGCTGACCAAATAGAGTCAGTTGGGCGTCTGACCACTGGTGCAAGGGATGCCAACGTTTCGTCGTTACTTTTCGCATTCTTCTTGCCCAGCCGCACCCTAACTATCACGCCAACCAGCGCCAATTGCCGCAATTGAAACCCACCAATCAGTTCCACCACATATCAGCACTGCGAATGGTTCTTGAGAGCTCAGTGCGTCCACCCCTTGTAGTAACGTACCTCGTCCCCAATCCTGGTCGGGCATGGTACGACGAGATGAAGTAACGAACAGAAAGAAGTTGCATTCAAACTAGACAGGCGTTGCTCATCTTCCCTTTTTAGTAACCATAGACATAATAATACTATAGGGTCATTTTATTATAAGTAAGCGACGGTCAACAGTCCATAAACGAGCACAGAACACAATGGAAGCCCACCAAGTTAACCAATTATGAGCCTGGGGTCGTTTTCGTGAAGTCTAAGCGCCGAGCAACAGCAGAACGTGTCTTGGTTTCGTCCGTTGAAGAGCTCAATTTACGTTTCCGGTTGTTCTTGCCTGAAAGCGTGTTGCCGTCGATTTCGTCCAATGGTTGTGTGGTATTCACGGGAGGAGATGTTTTCGGAAGTTTAGACGGGTGTGATGGATACGGAGGAGCGAAAAAGTAAGCATGACTGAGAGCCTGTACAAAAAGTCAAGGTCAAGTCGAGAAATGGTAGAAAGGCGCACGTCTTTGGCGGTGATTCGTTTCTTGGGTTCATAGATCAAACATTGTGTAAGGAGGTTCAAAGCGTCAACACTGGCGGCTGTGAAGAGATCTCGCAGCGGTGCCCGAGTAAAATGACCGATGGGCACATAGTCTGGTAATTTGGTGTGACCTGGCCAATCCTGTTCAGTGGGAGAGCCAAGCGCGCGGAATATCGTGTTGAGCTGGTCCATATCGCTTTCTCCCGCGAGGTAGGGAGTCCGAAGCATGAGTTCAGCGAAAATGCACCCAACAGACCAGATGTCAACTGCAGTCGAATAATAGCGGCTACCAAACAGCAATTCCGGAGGACGATACCATCCATGGTTGATGTCAGAGTCGCGACTGTAGCCAACAGCTGCACACACACACCTAGTGATAACTTGACAGGTCATTTTGTAGCCCGGGTCTGCAAAGTCGCGAGCTAAACCAAAATCAGCGATCTTGAGCTGACCGTCAGAGGCGATAAGCAAGTTGTTGGGTTTGAGATCCTATGGTAGTGAGTTCCGTTAGAAGAAGTAAAACCATGACAAACCCGATGCAGTATCCAATTCCGGTGGCAAAACTCGAGTCCACGGAAAGTCATTGCCATCCAGCTTTTGATATCAGCGGGAAGGAATACGAGGGACCTGTCCTTGATCACACGCTCCAAGTCGGATTCTAGGAACTCGAGTACAAGATTGAGATTTGTTTTCGAAGAGAATACATCCAGCAGCTGTGAAAAAAAATGGGCAACACCTCTTTCTCGTCACCAATATGCTCCTCACCTCGATGATATTTTGGTGCTTGAGCTCACGCAGGTACTTCACTTCGCGAATAGCAGACATGTCGAGCCCATCTTTGAACAAGCCGACCTTGATCTTCTTTATGGCTACCTGTCTGCCACTGGATGCCTCCCTTCCTACCCCCATTCAGTCAGACGACAAAAGATTGAACGCACTGGCGCACCTCGATAGACCACAGCGTAGGTACCCTCTCCAATCTTCTGGTCTTTTACCCTTAGAGCAAAACACAGTGCGGCGTTTGGGGAGTAGATGGCATTACCCTACCATCGTTTTTGACGTTCCGCATTTGCTTTCTCCACTGCATCCATGAAGGAAGTTGTGGGCGATGTCACATCACTTGAGTCGCGTCAAAAATGCTTTCATTCGCTTCTCCCAGCTGGCAAACAGGAATCCTAGCACAGAACCCGCAAAAGGGACTCTTGGCGTCCGGCAAGGCGCGATTGGCTTCACTTATTGTGCCGCGATTATACCTCTCCGACTATTTCACCGCACATGACGAGAAGGAACTAATTCGACTTAACATCACCCATGTTGTCAGTGTCATCGACAGAGTCCCCTCCATCCCCAACTGCATTGCGGACGACCACAGAATGCATATCTCGGTTGCAGACCGTTCGGATGCTGATATCCTCCAATACCTGACACAAGCAACAGCTTTCATTGTGGCCGCACTAGAGCAAAACGATGACAACAATGTCCTGGTATGTACATTGCGGAAAGGAATCTCTACTTTTGATAATCGGGTAGGTCCATTGTTTCCAAGGCGTCAGTCGCAGTGCGACTATAGTCTGCGCCTATCTCGTCGCTACAACTTCTATGGATTCGTTTGAAGCCGTCGGCTATGTACAGGCAAAGCGTCCCATTGTGTGCCCCAACCTAGGTTTTCGCCGGCAACTCCAACGGTGGAGTGCCGAAAACTATGGGCAAGTGGTCAGAGAAGGAAGGATTGCAAAGTTGGCTGGCAGTTTCGTGGAAACATTCAAAGAATTGAAAGCCAAAGCAGGCGGACAGTCTTCGACAACCAAGTTACACCCGAGACTGAAACCTGACCCATGAGCTTAGGCAAAATATTCATAGCGGGCTACAGATCTGGGTTCAAATCCAGATCGAGATCGAACAGCTGCTGCTGAGGGCGATGATCTTGTTGATAGGAATTGACATTGGGGTCGAGCACTTTGGGCGGCGAAACCACAGGAGCTGCAGATAATCAGGGCTACTCAAATCATTGTCGGTTGTTGATTATACCTCTTCCAATAGAATGTGTTTCGCCAAGTATTGCGAGAGGGGCCTCGTTTTCTAGCTTGCCGCGGCGTAGCTTTTCCTCGGTTGGGAACGGCGGGAAAAACAGCGGAGGCTGGCCAGGAAGTGAGGGGTCGAGTGACATATTGGGCGGTGCTGAAGTGAAGGAGCTCAAGCTCTGAGCAAGAGCTAACAGCTCGGGATATGGGATGGACGCTAGGTGGTAGATAAAAAGAAAGCAGGGCTAGAGCAAGGTTCCCACCCTTTTTCGCTTGCTCAATCGACTGTGTCAGCTCTTGACCCTCCTCGATCACTTGCTCTAGCTCATACTTGCCCACATTCAGTTGCGTGCAAATTTCGCGCCATCGGCCGTCGAGTTCAAGTATCTCTTCTTTCAAAACCTCGATTTTCCGTTGTTTGATTTGGTGGGTATACGCAAGATTGACAGCAGATGCTAATGCTTCATCGCAAGCAATGAATGCAGCAAGAGATGGTGGGGGAGGCGGCTTGGTTTGTGGGGGAGACAAAGACATGAACAGGGTGTGGGATAAAGTCTGCAGTTCTGATAGTGGACGAAGCAGCGACTCGACCATAGAATCGGAATCGTTCGCCATAACCGTAAACCGTTGTTGTCACAAGCCAAGTCACAAGCCTCAGATGGACCAGGAATATCGACTCACGTCTCCGCCAATGACTCTACCCGTAAGACGTGTAGCTTTGTGTTTAAGCTATTTAATAATTCCTGAAAGCAAGTTTCGCGTTACGTCGACGGCAGTACCATAGGTTTTGAACCTTTCCACGATAATTCGCCCAAGTATTCACTGCACTACAGACTTCATTCGCGAAGAAGCACTTGAAAGGGAGAGGAACAATGTTCTTCGCGCTCAAATCGGTGTTAGAGGTCTTCTCCTTCCATGGTTCGACGCTGCTAGGATGTGGCTCATTGTCATTCTGACTGGAATCGGAGTTGGGCTAACTGGTGGCTGGTTGGATGTGCTTGTTAAATGGTGGGTCGGGCGCCCCTGCTTTCTGGGCCTCATCATTGCAGGTTAGGTGATCTACGGGAGGGGCGCTGTTCTAACGGCCTCTTCTACAACCAAGTAACGTGCTGTAGCAGTGTTAAGCGTGAGTTTTACTCTGATCACTAAAAGTATCGCTCACAAATAAGCCGGCGAACTTTGCGGGGAATGGATGACGTGGAGCGCATTTTTGGATCTCAGAAACGTCTTCGCGCAATCGCTGCTGCATTCTTCAGTATATGTGGCTTTGGCGGTAAGATGCTCGTTCGTTGATCAGCAGACTCACCCATTTGCTTAGGTGTCGTTTGCTGGCGCTGCAGCTATCCTCGTCACGACATATGCCCCTTATGCATTTCACACTGGCAGTGAGTGCGTTCTCTCCCGCCTCTGATTGGATTTTGATGAGATTGCTAGTTCCCGAAATTAAGGCTGTGAGATGATGAAAGCCTGGTCTTCTTCTGCTTACCGAAGACAGATTTTGGGCGGCTACGTCTTGACGGCTTTCTTGACCCCTTGGACACTACTCATCAAAGCCCTTGGTCTTGCACTTGCAGTCGCATCTGGTCTTTCCCTAGGAAAAGAGGTGGAGTTAATAAAATCCGAGCATTTCAAGGCTGAAGATGCCCCTTTCACATAGGGCCCTCTTGTTCACGTCGCTTGTTGCTTTTGTTATATGCTGTTAAACCTTCTGCATTTTCGAAACAGTGAAGGTTAGTCCATGTCATCCCGCAGGACCAATACCAACTACGTAAACAGTTCAAAAACGCAAGCTCCTCGCGGCAGCAGCAGCAGCAGGAGTCTCTGTTGCTTTCGGAAGTCCACTGGGAGGCGTCCTCTTTGGCCTGGAAGGTTCTCCTATTTGCAAGCTTTTTTTGGATCTGCTCACCTGCATGTAGAGCTAGACGTCTTTGCGAATGAATCCGAAGTTATGTGGCGGGGTTTCGTAGCCTCTGCAATAGCTGCCGTTGCACTACAATGGGTTGACCCCTTCGGCACATCCAAATTAGTATTATTTCAGGTGACAAATGGTTCCGATACTTGGAGAGCATTTGAACTGGTACGCTCAAAACCACCAAAAATACATGTTAAGACTCGAACAGATCCCTTGGCTCACTCTTGGTGTTATCGGAGTTCGTCATTCGCTAAATGAGCTTCATTCTTCCCAACCTAGTTAGGGCGTTCTTGGGTCGATTCTGATTCGCATCAATGTTAAAGTTGCGCTGTATCGACGGCGTAGTGTCCTCAATGATTGGCCTGTCCTCGAAGTCATTGGCGTGAGTGCAATCACAGCCGCAACCAGTTATTTAGTAGGATTAATCGTGCTCATATTTTCCGATCTGGGATGACTTACGTATAACAGATCGTCTTTTCTCGGTTTGCCAAGTCTGATTATATCGGCTCTAGCTCACTTCCTTTCCTAGAGTGCAAGCCTCTGAGCTAGTAGCCAATCTTTTTCAAGAATGTGACCCGACCAAGATCGATTATCATGGGCTTTGCAAGTGCGTCGGCTACTTGTCGCAGTGCCAGACGTTTTTTACTCCCTTAGTCCAACCGCAATGTGGGAAAATGTATTTCTTCTGCTCTTGACGGCAGCACTCAAGGTCCTTTTAACGGCGTGGACGTTCGGTATGATGGTGAGTCGCTGAATAGCTTTTTTTGTCAAACATATGTGCCGCGTAGATCCCAAGTGGTATCTTCCTCCCGACTATCGCTATTGGTGCTTGTCTTGGTCGTGCGATGGGCCTATTGGTGTAAGCTGTTAATTTGGAGAAATCCCTTGACTTAGATATATTCAGACAAGCAATTCATCGGGCCTATCCGATGGCTTGGATTTTCCAGTCATGCCCACCTGAACTGACGAAGCGTTGCATTTCGCCTGGTTTCTACTCCGTTATCGGAGCGTCTGCGATGCTAGGAGGTGTGACAAGAATGACCATCTCTCTTGTCGTCATACTTTTTGAGGTATATCTGCTGCGGTCTTCCCTTGTCCTTCCATCCTGACTTCGTTTAAGCTTACCGGCGCTCTTTCGCATGTTCTCCCAATCATGGTCAGTGTCATGACTGCCAAGTGGATCGGGGATGCTTTGGGGAAGGATGGTGGAATTTACGCGGCTTGGATAGCCATGAAGGCTTATCCTTGGCTACCGCCTGTGAACTATCAAGACAAGAAACCCGATCTCGGTGCTCAGCTTATGCGCCGACTCAATCGACTCATACTCATCCACGACCGAGGCGAAACCATTGAAAAACTTGGTGATGATTTAGGCAACGGGTTACCGCACATCTGAATTGCATCCCTCTAGCTGCGCTCCTCGACAAGTACGATTATCACTCATTTCCTGTTGTCCGAGAGCAAGAGTTTCTCGGGCTTATCACTCGAGACAAACTTCGCTCTGCGTTAGGTCTCTATCACCTCTTGAATTTAGACTTGGATGCTGATGGGATTTCAAGTTGACGACAGCTCAAACCGTACCCGGGAATGCGTATTTTCAATAAGTGACATACCAGGGCCCAATGCTTTCCTTGATTTATCTGGTCTGCTGGAAGAAGCTGTCTTGCAATTGCGTCCAGAGGTGCCAAAGGAATTTGTTGTGAACATGTTTCAGAAATTTGTAAGCAGATATCGATTTCATCATTATTACCGAATCTGATCACTTGACTTCACAGAATCTGCGCCAAATCGTCTTCACGTCGAGAGGACGTCTAATAGGGATGACTACTCGCAGAGATGTCGTGACACTCTTGACCTGTCAATTCGCACATTCCGGAGCCCTGGCTCAAGAGCGTCGAAGTTGGGATTAGACGGTAGAACGACGAAATGTGAGTGGAATCGATTCAGATTGAGATGTCGTGAAACAATTCAGGTTGTCCATTTGCCAAACCGCCTGTGAAGCACACCAGAGCCTTGAGCTTGCTTCCCATCCATTCTTCTTCGATTTCCACCATTTCTCGCTCAGGAGGACCGACGACCAAGGCCCCAATCTCATCAATGCGAGTGTTTCGAGGGAGATAGTATGCGACATTGCGTGTAATTCTTCTTGAAAGTTGGAAGAGCTCTGTACCGTTTATAGGCTTAATGGAAGCGAGGGAGTAGTTGGGGTGTTTTGTTTCTGTGCCAACCTCAGGTTTGACTGGTGAGGATAAGTCTCCGGAGATGTAGCCAGGTCCGCCCCACGGAGGACTAAGAAAAACGACATCGATTTTGCGTTGTTTGTGGGTTTGGGATAGATAAGAACTGGCGAAGGCCAGGTAATCCGCGAGAATGAATTCAATACGGTCAGCGACTCCATATATCTGCGCGTTATGCCGTGCCAGAGCCAGACGTGTGGGAGAGATGTCTAGAGCAATGACTTGGATCGTCAGCTGCGAAATGCTCACTTGGGAAAGCAAACCTCGTTCACAAGTTTGAGCGAATGCAATGGCATTCCCACCTACCCCGCAAAAGGCATCCAAAATGGTGTCGCAACGACACCGTTCTGCTATTCGGTCTGCTATCAGTTCTGGTGTGATACTATACCATCCTTCTTCGTCAAGTAAACAACCAGGAGGAGACGAGTACAAAGAGAAAAATCGCGTTCGCTGAGCGAAGTCTGAACGCAGTGAGCCAATATTTCCAAAGCTATTCTCCCCCACATTTCTGAAGATGCTCTGGAACATCAGCCTCATCCTGGTAGTGTGGTACAAGACCGGAAGCATCGTATTTCTTGATCCATGTCCAAGATTGAACTTCAGAGTCCGTTCTTTGCTTCTTTGTCGGCCGTTCGGTGTTGCTTGCAGGTTCGAGGAACCTAGCAAGGCCACCAACTCGAGTACCTGGGCGTTTGCCCATGTTCTTCTTTGCCTTACGTAAATGTGACAGACACGCTCACGTCTTTCCTGTTTATGCCATGTTCTTCATCGTCAGTTTCGTTGCCCTGTCTTTGGACGAACCACAAACTAGTGCTATTCTTGTTCACAGAAAGAATTGACACATACCATCCTGCTCCACCCCTCGTATTTCGGTCCTCGCATGCTCAACTTCCTCGAATCCAAACTTTATGCGGACGTTGAGGGTACTTGTTCTGGCCAATTTGGCTACATCATCGCTGTCGTCTCTATACTCGACATTGGCAAAGGAATGGTCTTGAGCGGCAGTGGTCAAGCTGAATTCATCACCCGATACCGGGCTATCGTTTTCAAGCCATTCAAGGGTGAAGTTGTTGATGGCGTTGTGAGCAACGTGAACAAGATGGGATTTTTCGCGGATGTAGGGCCACTTCAAGTATTTGTATCCCACCAAGTCAGTCTGTTTAGCACTACCGGACTTCCAGCTCAAATTTGCTGTGTAGCTCATCCATCCCGACCTCAAATTTGATTCAAATTCGAATCCGCCTTCATTTGCGTCTGCGGATCAGGTAGACCACGCATCCTTGTGCTCTCTACTTGATGATAACCCTCTTTAGATCATCGAAAAATCTACTCACGTTCGACTGAAGATTGTCGGAACTCGTGTAGATGCCACCGAAATTGTGGGACCTCTAATAATGAACCTTTTTGCCTGTCACTAACACGGGTGCAGTTTGCCATTGGAACAATTAAGGAAGATCATTTGGGGGCTCTTAATTAGGTGGCTGAGATGTCGTCGCGAGATACTTGGACGCGGGTGAAGCTGAAATCCGACTGGGCAAATCAAGTGCCCACTACAAGTAATTACTGTATCCACAACCGTCTTCCATAAAGCTAAAACGAGGAGTCACGGTGTGACTACACCTTCTAAATCAGAATCTGCTCCATGTCTCTACCATTGCAGATTGACGAAGCCACTCTGGCTCAGATTTTTGCGACTCTCTTTGAGCCAACCGACACACTACCTAAACTTGTTGCAGCTGTTCAGCTCAAAGGATGTCATTACGCAACATACGATGCGCTAGTGGATGCTGTTGTTGCCCAAGTAGAGATGTGGCCAGTTGAGTTGCAAACCAGCTTCATCAGTGGACATCCTCGCATTGGAGAGAAAGCAGCTATCTCTTCCCTCAGCGCCAAAGAACAAGGCGTTAACATCGCTACCCCCGAGCTTCTTCATCGTCTTGCGTATCTCAACGACTGCTACGAACACAGCTTCCCAGGCTTACGCTATATCACCTTCGTTAATGGACGCAGTCGACAAGCAATCGTGGTTGAAATGGAAGATTTCCTCCATATCTCGCCCGATTCAGCGCCCTTCCCTGGTAGTTTGACGCGCATTGAACCTGGGAGTGGCGCTTGGACATCGGAGTTGCTTCGTGCCATCCAAGATGTGGGACGCATTGCCAAGAGTCGCGCTCAACATGTACAGATCCAGTAAATAAAATAATAATAGACAGTTAGGGGGTACTGAATCACAGCTGACGCACTCGTGAGTTTATATGCTGTTGTCGTGACTTCCACTCTGGATTCTGGCGATGGAACTCAGCCAATATGCGCTCCACCATCGCCTTGTATTCGACCTCTTGGCGTGTTCTATCATCTCGTGCTTGCTGCCTCAGTAGCCGAAAATGCTCTTCGGACTCTTGCCAGCTCTTCAACGCCCATGCTTCCCTTTCTCGGTTTCGTCGAGACTGAGTATCGGAGGCGGTTTTTAACTTCGGATACCCTTGTTGGATATCATAAGTCTACAAGACTGTAAGAATAAACCAACCACACATCGACGCCAGTGGTACAAACCCGTCGTTTGAAGGGGTCGCTCAACACCTCGAACGCTTGCTGAACCTGAACATTTTGTCAAATGATTAGCTGGGTTGAGCTGGAACAGTAGTACCTGGTGAAATCTGGCCTCGGCTGCCAGTTTGTCTTCAGTGGAAGCTTTATCTGGATGTGTTTCTAAAGCCTTGGCTTTATATGCGCGGCGAACTATCAGTCCAGTAGTGTGAGATATGGAAAGTAGTTGTGGTTATTGACGCGCACTCTGGTCAGGACGAGCAGTAGGTGGTATTCCAAGGGCTTCATAGTGATCCATTGGACCACCGTCGCAATAAGTTATTCAAGTACTAGTGGACCGTGGTTGACTCTCGTCACGAACACGTGATGTCGATTTCTCCTACGTCTACAACAGTGAATTTGGCCAGGACGCTAGCTTTGACTTTCAAGAGCATGCAGAATATATTGGGATATTACACGCCACTTAGTACACATATCCAAGCAGTTTACCCCCGACATTCTTGCGACGCGCCTCCTCGTGGTCCAAGATTCCGCTGCTCGTTGTCTTAAGTATCGTAAGCATGAGAAAGAACCATTCAATGACTGGGCACAAACCAATATGATAATCCCGAAACCTCTAGCAGGCAAGAGTAAGTTGACCCAGCTTTCGATTTGGGTTACTTGGACGTTAAAGCGAGGAGAAATGACACCGGTTTTGTTGAGACGTCCGTTGAGCTGAATGACGATTTTACCGGATCGGTGGTCGTCGATGATTTCAAACTCGTTTATGTAGCCTTCAAAAGCAATTAACTCAGAGGAAGAAAGAAAAGAGGAAGAGAAAAAATGTGCGTCCTTCTGTGAACTCGAGCCAATGTGTTTGCTTGACCCAAGCTGTTTGGTATCTGGATGCAGATAGATATTTCGGAGCGTTAAAACGATCGACAGGTGGAAAGACCGTATCGACCGTAGTTATCACTCCGGAGAGAGAGAGAAAAAAGTAGACGACGTACCGTGGCGTTGCATAACGGAGAGAAATTTGACCACCACTTTTGAGGAAGGCCGGATGAGCACCTGCCGCTTGCCACGACGTTCTGCATTGACAATGTTATTGAGGCAGTCGTTCTGAATCAACTTGAGATAAAAAAAAACATCCCCCAAAACACGAAGCAAACTTGCCAGGACAGAGATGCGGACCATGGTTTTTTAGGTGCTGGAGCCCAAGATTGAGTGTCGCGCTATGGAAAGCACGAGTCAAACAGGCTGTTGGGATAAAGCAGGGAAGAAGACCTTGGGAGGAGAGGAAGAGCGGTGTGATTGAGGTCACGCTGTTCAGTTGTGTCCGTTACACTCGTGACTCCTTTTTTCCTTGTAACCTTTTCAAACGGAACGACATGGTTAGTGGTACCTCGTCGCCTAGTCATTGCTCACCCTTCGTAGGGACGTGTGCGAACCAAGACCACTAAACGTGCATCTCGCGTCCTCATTGAGAAATAGTTAGATTCACCTATGCGACTCTTGACTAAATACTTATTTCTACAGTTATCCCCGGCTCACACTCGACTTCCACACGAACAAGCGAATCATCGATGAAGTCGTATGTGCAGTTTACCTACGGTTTCTCACTCTCTGATGTGTCGTTCTAGGCCGTCGTCCCTTCCAAACGTCTCCGCAACAAAATCTCGGGCTTCACTACCCATCTCATGAAGCGTATCCAAAAGGGCCCCGTCCGTGGCATCTCGTTCAAGCTACAAGAAGAGGAGAGGGAACGCAAAGACAATTACGTTCCAGAAGTCTCAGCCTTGGATGTCTCTGCTGGTCTTGAGATTGATCCCGACACCAAGGTAAACTGGAAATGATCAATGGTCGCGATGGAGCTCATTTTTTTTCGTAGGCTCTGCTCTCCGCCCTGAACTTCGATTCGATCCAAGTCAATGTCGTCCTTCCCGTGCCTGCCCAGCCAGAGCGCAGTGGACCTGGAGGCCCTCGCCGTGAGAGACGGACTGTGCCAGGCGCTGCCCCCCGGTAAAGGTGCTCTTCTCCGTATGATACATCCATGTGTGCAGTTCTACGCCAAACAAATATGTCATGCTTCGCTTGTATCATTTGTTGAGCCATCTTTCTCCTCTTCAAAGTCCAACTACAGCAACTAAGTGTGGAGGCAAAGGGAATTGGTGGAAGCATACGGGGTCATATATCACTCGAATAACGAGGCTGCAGCTTGGGCAAGTGGCAACATCCTCGCAGTTGGCAAGCTGAAGTCTGGATATTTCAAAGCGGTCGCCGCAAGGACAAGGGTAGTGATAGACCGCCTTGTCGATGTCCCAGACCATATCCTCAATTTCAATCTCGTCGTAAAAGCCACCCATCGCGCCAACGTCAATCACACAAGCCAAGCGAGGTGACGGTCACTGTGTGTGTTTTATGAATCTTGCTGCTCGCTTGTTAGGGCGTCGAAGACGACTATTGACTGTGCTGTTGAGCCAGTCAAGACCAAAACACTTTTCCGAGTCACGTTGGGCATCGATAAATCAAGCTACATCACTCTCCAGAAACGCAATGGATTCCGTCTCTGGATCCTTCGCATCGCTCTCCATCAACCCCGTAGCTCACATTAACCATCCAGAAACCAGCTCCCCAGCCACCTGGCGAGATGCTCTCGATGCAAACGCGTCAAGTCCCAATTATCAGCTCATAAAAACGCTGGTTTTCAAACCAAAGACCGCCAAGTCGGCTGCACCAGTTCCAGTTGTGGTCATCGCCCGCGATGAGACTGAAACCAACTCTAGCGCACTGGGGAAACATCTCAATCTCAAGGAATTGCGTTTAGCAGCAGAGGATCTCCTAGCTGAATTCTTTCACCTCGATAAGAACTCGTGTATTGGTCTCAATTGCTGCTGTTCAGGGTGCTGACCACATCTTCTATAGTATCTCCATTGGCCCTTAACCAAAGCACTTTCCCTAAAGTCATCACTGTTCTTGACTCTTCAATTGTCTCATCGTCTTCTGTTTTCGCTGTCCATGCATTATCTTCCAACTCGACTATTTTCCTTTCTGGGAAAGATATTGCCGCCTATGTTAAGCACCTCGAAAGCGACGACCACAAAGTACAAGAAGTGGATTTCTCGACGCTGGCAACTTCATCGACTGTGCCAACGGCCACAAAGCAGGCGCCAAAGGAGGACGCAAAAATCGAAGGAGCCGTGCAGATTGCAATCGGAGTGAAGAAAGAGGTCGATTTTCCTGGTTGGTACACAAATGTGCGACATCGTCCCCTTATGACAGCTCTCATGACTCTCTCTCTCTCTCTCTTCAGGTTCTCATTAAAGCCGATATGCTCGACTATTATAGTGTCAGTGGATGTTATATTCTGAAGCCTTGGTCATATAGCATCTGGGAAGAGATAACCCGTGCGTTCGCCATTACCACTCAACCACTCTGTCTGGTCTAAAACCGATCCCAGAATGGTTCAACGCTCATATCAAGGAACTCGGAGTCCAAAACTCGTACTTCCCGATGTTTGTGTCTCAAAAGGTTTTGGAACGAGAAAAGGACCACATCGAAGGCTTTTCCCCAGAAGTAGCTTGGGTCACGAGAGCGTTCGTGTTACTTGATCATGTCAATTCCTTCATTGAAGTGTTGGCAGAGGTAGCTCAGATCTCGAAGAACCCATTGCAATCCGCCCAACATCAGAGACGGCCATGTATCCATGTAGGTTTCTTTACTCCATTACTGAACCAACGCTGACTAACAAACACTGGAGACTACGCCAAGTGGATAAAGAGTCATCGCGATCTTCCTTTGAAACTCAACCAATGGAACAGTGTGGTCCGCTGGGAGTTTAAAAATCCCCAGCCTTTCCTTCGGACGCGCGAATTCCTATGGCAAGAAGGCCATACCGCGTTTTTGACCAAGACAGAAGCCGACACCGAGGTCAGGCAAATCTTGGACTTGTATCGCCGTGTCTATGAAGAACTTCTTGCTGTCCCTGTGATTCCCGGTGTTAAATCAGAGAAGGAGAAATTTGCTGGTGGACTGTACACAACAACTGTCGAAGGGTTCATTCCTACTACGGGTCGTGGTATTCAGGGTGCAACATCTCATTGTCTCGGTCAAAACTTTTCGCGGCCAGAGATGTTCAATATCGTCGTCGAAGATCCCAATGACCCTACTGGACAGGGCAAAACCTATGTATGGCAAAACTCTTGGGGACTGTCAACTCGGACAATTGGTGTCATGGTCATGATCCACGGCGACAACCAAGGATTGGTACTACCTCCGCGCGTGGCTAACATCCAGGTGATCGTTGTGCCCTGTGGTATCACGGCTCGGACGACAGACGAACAGCGAGCGACGATTAATAACGCTTGTGAAGACCTTGCAAAGACTCTCAAGAAGTCAGGCATTCGTGCGCAATCTGACCTCCGTGAAGGTTATACGCCAGGGTACAAATTCAACGATTGGGAGCAGAAGGTTTGGTCTTCTTCTTATCATACGCATCCTCACGAGCGGGAACTAGGGCGTTCCTCTTCGTCTTGAAATCGGACCGAATGATCTCACGAAACAGCAAACACTTGCGGTACGGCGAGACAATGGGGCAAAACAACCAATTGGTCTATCGGATATTGGAGCAAACGTCTCGGCTTTGTTGGACACCATCCAAAATGATATGTTCACTCGAGCAAAGAACAACTATGATGCCTGCCTCAAAGTTGTCACACGTTGGGAGGACTTTGTGCCGCAGCTCGACAACAAGTGTGCAGTTGTTGTTCCATGGTGCGAGACAGAGGAGTGTGAAGATGCTATCAAAGAACGAAGCGCCAAGGCGTGCGTGACCTTCTTGCACTTCGTTCTTTCACACTGACTCCTATAGATCCGAGCCTCAGGATGAACGGGCTCCTTCAGCTGGAGCTAAATCTCTGTGTATTCCATTTGACCAAGCGCGATGGGGCCAAATTGCTTCAGGACAGCGATGCATTGCCTGCGAACGTGATGCACGTCGATTTGCACTCTTTGGTCGCAGCTATGTCCGTTGTTTCTCTGTTTTTTTTTTGTTCATGCTTAATTTTTTTTTAACAGTGATCATGAATATATATTTTTATCTGTACAACGAATTTGGTCCCTTAGAAATAATGCCATCAACTTGGATGACTAACACATTCTCACACCTCTTCTTCTTCTCATGTTTGTGCGGAGTGTTTTGCGTTCAGTGCCGCGCCTGCGCTGGGCCGCTAGGCGACACTATGCTTCTCCTTCGGAACCATATGAGCTGGTCGTCATCGGTGGAGGTGAATCGTGTTTAGTCCCGTTTTTTTCGTTACAACTGGGGATTTAGGACCTGGCGGTTATGTTGCCGCCATAAAGGCCGCGCAACTTGGGCTCAAGGTATGAGGTTCTTCCTTGACCAACACACCAATGACCTTCAAAAGACCGCATGTGTCGAAAAACGGGGCTCGCTTGGCGGCACATGTTTGAACGTAGGATGCATACCGTCTAAAGCCATGCTCAACAACTCGCACCTCTATCACCAAGTCCAACATGATATGAAGCATCGTGGCATTGACGGTGTGTGGTTATCCTTTCTTTTTGCTTCTGCTCTCATCATGCTGCATTTTTTAGTTTCTGGGGTATCTTTAAACCTGGCTGGGATGCTTGAAGCCAAGGACTCTGCTGTTTCTGGTCTCACCAAAGGCATTGAATTCCTCTTCAAACAAAATGGGGTCGATTACATCAAAGGCGCTGCGTCGTTCGTATCTCCTACGCGCATCTCGGTTCAGTTACTGGAGGGCGGAGAAACCGAAGTTGAGACGAAGAATGTGATCATTGCCACAGGCTCGGAAGTTGCGCCGTTCCCTGGGGGTGGTATCCCCATCGACGAGAAGCAGATCGTCAGTTCAACCGGTGCATTATCTCTATCAAAGGTACCAGAGAAATTCGTTGTGATTGGGGGAGGAGTCATTGGCCTCGAAATGGGAAGTGTCTGGAGTCGTCTGGGATCGGAGGTGACCGTGGTGGAATTCCTTGGTAACATCGGCGGCATGGGCATAGATGGTGAAGTCGCGTGCGTGTGTTGCCCTATCACTTGTCAGTTGATTGAGCTTTTCACCTTGCTAGCAAACAGTTCCAACGTCTGCTGGCAAAACAGGGCATCAAATTCAAACTTGGCACCAAAGTTACCTCTGCAGTCAAGACCAACGACAACAAGGTCACATTGACCATGGAGGCTGCAGCTGGAGGCAAGGAAGAATCCCTGACAGCCGATGTAGTTCTAGTTGCCGTTGGTCGCCGCCCGTATGTCGAAGGACTCAACTTGGAGGCTATTGGCGTCGAGATGGACAACAAAGGTCGAATTGTCGTTGACAATCAATTCAACACGTCGGTTGGTAACATCAAGTGCATCGGTGATGTAACGTTCGGACCGATGCTGGCGCACAAAGCCGAAGAAGAAGGTTTGTGTCTTAGTTGAGGTGCGAATATGCCTGATCTGTTTATAGGCATTGCTGCAGTCGAGTATCTGAAGTCGGGCCATGGGCACGTAAACTACAGCGCAATTCCTTCCGTCGTATACACTCACCCTGAAGTTGCATGGGTGGGTAAGACAGAGGAAGAATTAAAGAAAGACAGTGTTGAGTTCTCTGTGGGCAAATTCTCATTTTCGGCCAACTCTCGAGCCAAAACCAATCTGGACAAGGATGGATTTGTCAAAATCATCGCAGAAAAGGAGACTGATCGTATTCTGGGTGTGCATATCATTGGTCCTAATGCTGGTGAAATGATTGCAGAGGGTGTTTTGGCGATGGAATATGGTGCAAGCGCAGAGGATGTGGCACGAACGACCCATGCCCACGTGAGTCTCTTGTTGTGATTATCTCGTTGGACTGAGATGTATTTCTTCAGCCAACATTAAGCGAAGCTTTCAAGGAAGCATGTATGGCGGCATTTGGAAAAGCTATTCATCAATAATTACAATTAAATATATCTGCTTACAGCCTTACACCTATTGTTTTCTTCTCTTGCTCTCTGTAATCAATCCAGCACAAATAGAATATCATTGAGAAAAGTTGATCTTGGAAGTCAAATACTTGGGATATGCTGAGCCAAAGGTTATGTGACACTTAAGATCTATGACATGAGATCTAGTGAGATTCAATCTAGAAGATAAATCAGCTCTCTCTCTGAGCGTAGCAGCCTAGGAGAGAGAAGGTATGGAAATAGGGACCAATGTATTATCCTAATAAATAGGGCAGAGAGGTGGAAGAAGAAAAGGAAAGCTGCGCCAAGATATTATGCCCTGGCAGGTACGTGACTGGTGAGTGCTGAGAGCTCCATGAAAGGCCTGAGATCGGCTGACTCACAAGGACGCCCCAGGCAGGCCATGCAATCAATACAAGACTGAGCCAAGAGTCTGTCGCTGGAGCAAAAGCCAGATAGCTCAAACAAAGCATTACCTCCAAAGCAATAGTGCATGTGGCAAACATAGTGACAGACACCCTAACAGGATGGATGCAACAATATCTATAACTTACATAAAGACAAAATCAATTTCCACATCCAGCTTATTATTATCCACCCTGTTCCTGTAAGGGCAACCCCGAAGGCCTGAGATCAAGGTCCTAGCAGGGGAGGATCCAAAGAGAAGAAACTCTAAGGGTCTGCCTGCTAGGTAGCTGACTATATACTACTTGTCTGTAGCTGCCGTTATCGGGCACAGTGTCATATCCGTGCATCTGTCAAGAGCCGTGGGCCGGTGACGGTCCGCCGGGCTCCGGCCCGATCTGATCCAGTCGCTCCGGCGACCTTGTACTCTGTATGTCCTTCGCCTTGTTACTTACATCTCCATATATCCTTATGCTTGTTACTTTTCATATGCACTCCATACTTTGTACTTACTTATGGTCTTCCCTTTCTACTTACGATTAGTATTTAAACAGCTAAAGTAGCTACAGTACTTTAGATTGATTATAAACGTTACTTGCACTCCTCCTCTGTGCGGAACAACTCCGATAACTCTTCTCTCTTCTCTTGTCCTTCAACTCTCTCCACTCGCGGACCTTGTCCACTCTGACTCCGGTCCAGTCTGGTTAGTCTTGTGTTCATTTGTGTTAGGTAGCTACTGGCTTATTAGCTATAGTAGAAACCCCCTCTGTTCTGCATGGCACTTGACACACAGAAGGCTTGGGTAGTGTTGCAGGCCAGGTCCTAGCGCGACCGTTGGAAGGGCGTTGATGGATCTGTGATGGTGCAGGCTTGAGCAGGGGCCAGACCAGAAACGAAATCGGACTGGAATTGTCTCCAGGGGGCCGAAAGGCAGGTTCTCCTGCCATCACCCCCCTTTTTGAATGCAGCATCCCAATACATAGACTGGAAAGGTATTGTGTTAAAGATCATGAAGGTAATGTGCCATGGTTTGCCAGGGTACTTACAATGGAACTCTGCAATTTTCTTTAGGGCAAAGATATGGTCACATTATTATAACCCCAGCAAATGTCAAGCTCTGTGAAGTATCGGGCACCTTGGAGCTTATTAACAAGCTCAGAGATCAAGGCCAGAGGATAACAGTTTTTAATCGACATCTCGTTTAGCTTCCAATAATCTTGCACAGGTGGAAGAGAGCCATCTTTTTTCTTGACTGTCAGGGGAAGCCCTGATGCTGTCACTTGATCCTATCAAGCGCCGCGTCTCCGTCTCTATGTCTCCACCTGCGTCTCTGTATGAGGCTCCTCCTCCACTACCCCCTACCACATCTCGCATCCAGGTGGTCCCTAGCCTCCGACTCCCATGGCCACCCCTTTCCGGGAGTCTCTCCGGAGTCACCATCAGGGATCACTAATACCATCGGAGACCTCTCCGGATTCCTATGAGACCTCGAGCCTATGGCCTTACAGCCTCTCTAGGCTGTCGCTCCTCGAGGTCTCCCTGCAATCTCTACCTGTTGGACCTCTTGGGTGTCCCCAACCAGTGTTTGGGCCTTACGTTCAGATGGCTGAGCCTTGCTATGGCTCTGCTCTCCACTCCGCCACTACGGCCCCCATCATTGGGTCTTCCTTTGGGCAAGGCCTACTGGCATTAAGGCTCATGCCTACTGCAGCGCCCCCAGGCTGCACACCCTCACACCTTCACCTCTCTAAAGATGTCCGGGGACGTGTCCGAGTGACTCTCCTATCACTACCCTCCAGTGGTCATGGCTGGCTGCTATTCCCATTGGTCCTCTCTAACACTCCCCAGCCCTTAGGCTAGATTGACTCCTTCTCTCTCCGCTCCATACCCCCCCTCTCCGTTTCTGGCCGTCACATCACGGTCACACACCCGGAATTGATTCCTATTCCAATTCCGATTCTGGTTGTCACAGTCACAGTCACAAGCGGAGACGCCCAGAGGCAGTCTGGACCCCCCGAAGCCCTTCCTGGGCCTTCTAAGGATGCCTGGGCTTTTCTCTTGGCATCACGGTCCCAAACCTGCCTCTCCGGAGCTTCGAGGGCTACTCGACACTCACCTAGGGTCCATTAGCAACATCTGACTTCTCCCATGCATCGTTTGTCGCTATGCAGTCACTCTAACATTACTCACTAGTATATAGTAGTGCACCTGAGCAGAGGGCTCCTTGACTTGTTCTCTAAGGATTCCCCCTCAGGTGAGTATGTAGCGTCCCTTCCTGTTGTAGTAGTTTCACTAAGGATTCCCCCTCTGCTCAGGACTCTGATTTCGAGCCTCGCGAGGTTGCCCTTACATTGACAAAGAAGAAGGCGGACATCATCAGTAACTTTGATGGTTGGATGTGCCCGCTCTTCTAAAAAAAATGTTAAGCTCTCTTTGTTCATCATGAGACAGAGGATAGATTTTGCAATCTACAGCCTTAGAGTCTGGCTTGAGTTCAATTGCATGATCCTATGAGTGACATTCAGGTAGAGAGTCAAATGATTCTTTGGCAAACACTTTGACAAACTCTCGATACTGATTGGGAGATTAGAAATCTTTTCCTTAGTCATTCATTCATTGTCTTGACCAGCTTTTTCTGCCATTTGCTGTACTTGGGTCTCTTTCAGTTGGAGATCAACTGCTGGACCAAAGTCCATGAGCAGGATCGACTCTCCTTCTTTCAGATCAGGGTCAGCTTAGAACTCTTCATTGCAAGTATTGCATTCGACAGGGCAGCCGCGGCCTGGACCTCCCAAAGCCCTCCCTAGGCCTTCTAAGGATGCCTAGGCTTCTTCCTTGGCATCACGATCCCAACCTGGCTCTCTGGAGCTTCGAGGGCTACTTGACACTTACCGAAGGTCCGTTAGCGACACTCTCCCATCTGTCATTTGTCACTATGCAGTCACTCTATCATTACTTCGGTCACTAGTATATAGTAGTGCACCTGACTAACCCTGACCCTTCTGGGCTGACCCACGGATTGCAGACATAGAATAAAGTTGCTGGCAAGACCATCGTGTTTCGCCAGGTGGCAAGTTGCCACCTGGCAAGACCTGGCAAGATACACAAAGCATTGATTAGGTGGTGGCAAAACAGAACAATGCAATGTTGCTTTGACCAAGTGTAGATACTCAATATAAATATTTTCTAGTCCAGTGAATGCCCAGAATCTCCCTCTGAACGATGCCGCCAGCTGTACACCCATTCCTCACAAGCCACTTCACCCTTTTGGGCAAGAAAGACAACAATTCCAAGCGGAAAGAGTATGCCTGCAACCACTGCGAAACAATACTTGAGCACCGCGAGAATCGCGCTTTCAAGCACTTCACCACTGGCCTCTGCACTGGCTCACCACCTCCAGAGGTAGCCACCGAAGCATATGTGGCCATGGCCCAGAAGACTACAGGAAAGGGGAGCCGAAAACGAGGATGTCCCGAGGACGATGGTGACGAGGATCAGGAGACTGATGTCAATGTTGTCCGCAACTCGGACCAGCCTCCAGCGAAGAAGGCCAAAGTCACACTCACAAAAGGCAGCAACCTACTTGGCTATGTCGACACACCCATGAGTGCCACACAAGAAAATGCCGCAGGACGCAAGCTGCTTTGATACTTTATTCATTCAAATACTGCATTTCTTAATGCGGACAATATCTTTCTGGCAGATTTCACCAATGAGCTTTGTCCATCCTACAAGGTCCCTTCTCGTACGACAATGTCAACTCTCCTTCTCGATGCCGAGTATAGCGACACGCACCTTGAAATGGTAAAGGAATTGATGGATTGGAAGCGGAGCGGAACACTCCTCATTGATGGTTGGGAGGACGGATTACGCCGATCGCTGTATGGCACTGCTGTTGCTCGTGTTGGGGAAACCCACCATCGTCATGGGATTGCACGATTTGACTGGCTGTCGTGGCAGTGCCGAGAAGATATTCGACGCTGCTGAGAAGTCAATGACGAGGATGGGCATCAAGAACGCCGGCTGCTTTTTTAGCAGCAGTGACCGACAATCCCACCGTTATGAAGGCTTTTCGAAAGAAGCTTGAGACTAAATACAAATGGTTAATTGTGCGTAACATGTTGCTTGATTTGTTTCCGGAATTGTGCTCACCGTATACAGACGCTTGCATGTTGGGCCCACGGTCTCAATACACTTATCGGCGAGATCTGCCGTTTTCCAGCCGCGAAAACGGAAATCCAAAAGGCAAATCGTGTTGTGACATTCTTCAATGGGTCGCATTACTGGGGCGGCCAGTTGAAGGCAGCCGCGCTCCTGGAAAACATCAGTCGGGGTCTGAAAAAGAATTGTGAATCACGCTGGTATGCGCTGATTCTGCTCTTGCTCAGCGTCTCCGCACATCGTATGCCACTCAACAACCTGACTTCACGGCCTGATGCTCGTGTCGCGACCAATGGGTTCTCCGCTGTCAATACCGACGTCGTTGCGATCATTCGAGACAAGGACGACCGGTTCTGGCCGATGGTCGGACAAACAATTCGTATCGCAAAGCCATTTGTTGATGCGATCGCGCATTGCGAGGGCCG